CTTATGGCACAATTTATTAAGGTCCGAACGCTTGTTGGTTTGATTCATAGGTGCGAAGATATGTTCTTCGTGTAACAATAAGCCGTTTTTTTAGCGGTAAATAATAGATTTTTTAGTGTGTATTGTGTATTCCCAGTAAGCGCGAGTAATAAGCTAGCTTTGATTACGTCTCTGCCCTTTGTACACACTGTTCGTCGCCCTACCGTCGACGGACGTATGGAAAAGTCGACCGAACTAGATCGTTTAGTTAGAGGAAGTAGTGTAACGATTCGAACGATATTTACTTCCGACTTGCGCGGAAATAAACGAACATTTTTTTAAAAAAAAAAGGCCAATAGACGTTTTATAGCATTTATTGTACAAATAATAAGATAATGAAAGATTCCCGGAAAAAATGTTGCAATCACTTTTTAATTTTTGCCGGCCAAACTATAAACAATATAATAAATCCAAAATAAACTGCCTCAATTGGATTATCGAATGGTTCAAATCAGTTAAATATGTGAACTGTGGACCAACGCAACCCCTGACGCAACCCCACCTCTTTAAAAATGGTTTCTTTGAGATAACTGAAAAACTACTTGACCGATTTGGACCATATTTTTTACCAGTCGATGTGACTAATGTCCCCTTTAATCTCATTACATTTCAGTCCGATCGACCCACGCATTCCGGAGATATTTAAACGCTCCAGAAACCCTATATTTGGAGTGGAAGCCAATGTTGTTTTCAAAAATGAGAACATACACTGCATTATCAATCGTTTAGATGCATAAATCACTAGCAGATTGCGGCAAATTTAAATACATATACTTATGTACTTTTTCCGCTACTAGCCAAGGGTGATTGAAAAACATGTGTACGACGCTTAGTTGCTAGGAGACCGATGCGCGCTAGTGCTGCAGCTTAAAATGCGGGTCGAGAGTATTTTTTTAATTGAATTGTTTAAATGAGAATAACGTGTAAATATTTCATTAAATTTATTCGACGGGTGCAGATTTATTAATTTATTATTTAACTGCACTATATATTTTGACTGATTATTATTGGATTAGACTGATGTTTTTTTTCCTGAGAACATAAGGATTATTGCATTGTAATGATTGATTGTTAATGATTAAACAATTCAGCGTATGTAGGCATCTATACAAAATTAAAGCAAACAAAATTTCCTGTAAAATAATCGCTATGCTCATCATAAAATCCAATTTTATGAAATATGTTGTCTACTTTAATTTGACTCTAGTAGACGATCTAAAAAGGATGGATAATAACAAATTTAATTTAAATTTTTACAATTGTACCTGTTATTGGTTATTAAATTAAATAGTAATTACTGTCTATTCAATAGACGCCAACTAAACAGGAAAATACCAATGTAATTAAGTATTAACAATAGGTACTGAATCGTTGCTGATTTCTTTTATACACTTAAGTAATGTTTTCTAATTATATTATGTCCACATTTTATACAGCCAATAAGAAAGAAAATTAAATGTGACAACCGCGCAAATATTTTAAACCGAAATTCTATAAAGAATTCTGTACATTTTCAATACGCGCCAATATTTAAAGAGGCGGTTAGTTCTGGCCACCTCTACGCGAGGGCCCGCTTTTGGAATCCTAGCGGGCGAGTTCTTATAGCCAACACGCGTTTATACCATTGCGCTGTATCTCTTATTATGGGTACTCTTTGGTATTACTAATCATCACGTGTGCTTACCTACATACGCCGAACGGTCAAAGTTAAACTTTTTTTGAGCTAAAAGAAATCACTGTCAATTTTCAAAATTTCAATCAAAGATAACTTGATTTTTTTTAATGAAATTACCAAGTTTTTTATTGCATCAAAAATATGGGATTTGATTACCTTTCTAACGATATAAGCACGCCGTATTTACCTTTTATACATATTTTTGTTAGAGACACCCTGTATATATTTTTTTGTAATAAAACCAAATTTGTGTAGGTTGAACCAAGAAAAATAATCTCTTTCAAATAACTAAATAAAAAATGTAGCGCTACTATGTATTTGAAAAAAAAGTTTATTTGTAATAAAACCTAGCATAATTTGGGTAGGTTGTACACAGAAAAAGAAAGTCTTCCGAATAATTTAATAAAAATTTTGCGTTACTGCTATTTAAAAAAAATAGTACGACGTTTACATCCTTTATGCCTAATCTGCCAACGTATGTACGTATACATAGGTACATACGAGTTAAAACAGACAGTAAAAATTTTTATTCTTTAAAAGTTGCTTAAAATGATCTAAAACGTTGACGTTTGATGAAATTTTGATACGTCCAAAAACGGTAATCGCAATATAGCCACCCCGCGCTTTTTGACGACCCATACGGATTTACTACTATCTCAAAATATATCGAAGTACTTTCTTCACTATTTTGTTCCGCATTATCATGCAGCCTTTGAAATTCATGACTATACCAAGAACAGAATGGTTCCACGTACATATCGTGGAAATTGTAACGTCTACTGCGGTACTTCCCCAATATAGGGTCTCAACTGGGATGCGACATTTTCGATCTCACAGAAATTTGGTATCTGCGTCTCTTTAAGAGAAAAATAACGAAACCAAAATTGTTTTTGAAAATTCGAATTTAAACTGCAATTCTGGACCAGACATAGGCCTACGGTAGTTTTTAGCTCATTTTTGCAAAGTAGGATCGATGTCAAAACTCTAATTGCATCTTCATTTGTTCTTAATAGAAGCTTTTCATATCACTTTGGCCGGCTGACTGGCTCGTTGGATGGCTGCCTGGCTGACAATCGCATGTAGAAAGACGAGGAGTGTACGTGTCCATACGGGGTCGTGTAATTAACAACTTTAGAGATGGGGCTACCGCTACATGATGCGGGACGGCGACATCTGGGCGCCATCCCCACGCGTGGTTTACTAACGTGGTAATTTTTAGTTTTTCCTATCTTCTTCTACAGTTTTGGCCGAGGTCGAACCCATAATCGCACGTCAAGATACAATTTTACAAGTCGTACGACAAAATCGTATAATGTGAATCTTGAAATATTTGGTTATGGCAACTCGCAAGTCGCAAGAGAAATCGTAATCAGAATCACATAACGTAAATTGCACTTATAAGAATTCCCCATTTACACCCCTCTAACTTGTATTTGAACTGACCACAAATTTTTTTAAAGTTTCGTCAATAAATTACCAGTGGAACGGAGAAGAAAAAATAACTTTTTGTCTCATAGGCACAGCCAAATTATCCCTTAGAGCCTTGTGCGATTAATTTAACAGCCTCAATTGCAGATATGCTTTGTGCCTCGATCTTTAACAGGGCTGCGCGTGTAAAAAAAGCAACCAAATTTCGGAGCTGAAATTTTCAAACAATTACTTCAAAATATTCAGACATTGAGATGCTCAAAAAGTACCCAGTGTTTTCACATAACAATATTTTGAAAACTCTTTCGAATGCAGACATCAATGCGAGGCACCTTGTTTTAATGTAACCCAACAGTTTTTGATACTTTCTATCAGCTAAGTCGTAGAACTCTTTGAGTGTTTTTCAATGCGAACACTAAAAATGTTAAAAAAATAAGTCAATTTTAACAATGGTGAACTCAAATCAACAATCCCTATAAGTTTTGTTTTTATTTCAGGGACGACCTCCATTGCAAATGCCTTGTTGACACCTTTTACTATTTTTGCCACCAAAATTACCTACAGTTACCGTTGCCTCCACAAAAACCCCACAACTTTTGATTTTAAATCATTTAATGTTAATATACTTCCCTTACAATATTCAACGATTATATCCGATTGGGATCCAAACTCCAAGATTTGAATTTGCGCGTCCTTTTGTGGTCAAAAATAATGGACCAAGACGAGAAACAATTTTGTAGAGCCATGGTTTGAGGCATCTCACTCAGTCCATATGTTGCAAATTTTTGAAATCCACCATCCATCAATATACCGCATTTTTTTTTTACAGAAAACCATGTTTTCTAGAAATAAAACCCTGTTGTGATTGTCGTGGACAACCAGCATATATAAGGAAAAAATGATTAATCCGCATGTGAGCAAAGGCGAAGAGTGCATTTTCAAATTTGTTTTTTCGATTTTAACAACCCTCATGGACATTTCATGCCTTAATGAGAATACAAAAATGAAATAACAAACAGACAGACAGGTAGACATATCAAGAGCGCCAAAGTGTGCACATTTTATTTTTTGAAAGTGAAAGTGTACTAAAAACGGAACTGTCACGTTCAAAACGGGATGTTTGGTCACATCTCACATTCGACTCATATATTCGCTAACTTGGCTTAAATTCTCAGAGACGCCTATTGTTAGGTACCTATGTTGTTTCTCACAAAGACAGGCCTAACACCTTCTCTGATTAATTAATAAAAACTTCGTCTACGTCATAATTGTGCTTTTAGATCGTCTTATCATTAAAAATACTCTAAAAATCTAAATACGAGCACGGAACACGCCAAGCTGTGATCAGAGATGTAGGCATTAGAACCTAAATCGCACAAAATACCGTACCTACTTATAATCAAAAATTCAAAAATAAATCAATTATACGGTAGTAAACATCCTGCATAATTACAAATCTTGTTGGTTTGACAGAATAAGGTATAATCAGTCGTCGGTTCGCCCTTCCGAGTTCCGATATAAAGGAATGTGTATGTGTAACTAACATAAACGCATGCTAGCAGAAAAATTGCGCGTGTAGATGGGGAAGGTCAGTTACATACAATACAACATTTGTTGGGCTCTGTGTAATCGAATACCCCTGTTTATCGCAACAGTTCTTGTCTTTCCTATTGCAGTTGTAAACCACGCGCAAGTTATTCATTCTACAGCACCTCCTTGTGGACGCGGAATAACACTAATTTAGTTTGGATTTAACGCACCAGAGGCTTAAATCCAAATCACTGTTGCCAGAATTTAACATGGCATGATCCATCTGTAGCATATTTAAATCTGTGCCCATACCATATATTTAACTTTTTTGTACCGATGTGCATATTATAGACTGGTCCATGACCGAGAATTACAACTACATGACGGTCGTCGTATGGTTAGTGCTGAAAAATATGACATATTACAAAAAGCTCACAGCGAGGCCTATCTACAGCAAAATGGCATGTTAAAAATACACCCAAACTTCAGAATAATAGCATTAGGCGAACTGTCTAACGTGCAGCCGACAAGGAACTGGCTAACCTCAGAGATTCTTAGCTTGTTCTTGTTCCATGAAACACGATTTCTGACAAAGATGGAGGAAATGCATATAATTACGTCTAAGGTAAGGATCTTTCTTTAATACCGCGATGATTTTCATTAATTTTGTAGTTCGGCCCAATATCAGAGACTCTGCAGAAAATTATCGATTTTGCGCACATTTTGCGCGTGAGCCCCGATCCAATTTTAAAGCAACTTTCAGGCCATATGTCCACTAGGCAATTGTTAAGGATCTCCAAGCGGCTTCAAAAGTTTCCCAATGAAGACATGTACGAAATTCTCCAAACTGTTTTTATGACACAGTTCTTGCCGACTTTAACCCGTCGAACTTTGGAGAATGCGTTTGCCAAAATGGAAATTGTACCACAGGCTGGTTTCGAGAGGAAACCCACAACTTACAGTATAAACAATAATGTGCTTACCATTGGAAATACTTCTGCTTTTATATCCGCTACTGAAGAGATTACAAAAGTGCCTCAAGTTCTTTTTTACGACGTACCTCAACATATACAACTAATGGAAAAGCTTCTGCAAGATTTTCAGTTAGGCCTACACCTACTTTTGGTCGGAAATCAAGGCGTGGGTAAAAATAAAATTGTTGATCGATTCTTGGGACTGCTCAACCGTCCAAGAGAATATATACAATTGCATCGCGACACAACGGTGCAGACGTTAACAGTACAGCCTACAATTAAAGACGGCATTTTGGTGTACGAAGACTCTCCACTGGTCAAAGCCGTTAAATACGGCCACGTCTTAGTTATCGACGAAGCTGATAAAGCCCCAACGCACGTAACATGCATTTTAAAAACTCTCATCGAATTTGGACAGATGTTATTGAGTGATGGCCGTCGAATTACTACAGCGCCACTCGATGAAAACGATATTCAGATACATCCCGATTTTCGCATGATTGTACTGGCAAATCGGCCCGGGTTTCCGTTTTTGGGGAACGATTTCTTTAGTGCTTTAGGCGATTTGTTTAGCTGTCACGCTGTCGATAACCCATCTAGGTCTTCAGAAATAGACTTATTGGTACAATACGGACCTGATGTCCCGATTGATACCATAACAAAATTGGTTGACATTTTCGGCGATCTGCGATCAATGGCAGATGAGGGATTGGTCACCTATCCTTATTCTACTCGTGAGGTGGTAAATATAGTAAAGCACTTGCAGGTAATTGTGGTACGTGGATCTTATACACTTACTGCGAAATTGTTATAGAAATTTCCACAAGCGGACATAGATGATGCGTTGTTTAATGTCTTCGATTTTGATAAATACAATCAAGATGCTGTTGAAACTTTGGGACAAGTTTTAATTAAACATGGTTTTCCAAAAACCAATATGTTTACCGCGGAATATTTGGCATTAAAGCAAGCTAAGGAGTACTTACAAGTTACTGTTGACCGTACTAGTGGGTAGGTATTTTTTAAAACATTTTTTCCAATTAAACCATAAATAATCCCAAAGAAATCCCTATTTTGGGACCTCCATAAAAGAGGGGAAAAGTAATGTTTCTATCTATTCTAATACATTCTCATTTTTTATGTACAGGGTGTCCCATTAACAATGGTCACAGGCCTTATCTATTGAACCATTAATTGCACAGCTTCGGGAAAAAATTGTTTGATAATATCATATAATAATAATATCGTTCCGTTTGAAATTTTCAAAAATAAATGCAAAGTTTATGTTTATGTCACATCGCGCCCTGTACCACATTTACTATTACTGTGAAAATCTGTTCACCTAAACAGAAGTTACATTCAACTCCTTAAAGAGATGTTTCCTTTCCCCCACCCCTCATATTTTATGAGCTAGAGTAATATGTGCTGCATCAAAATGATGCAAAATTGATACAAGATTGCGATGCATGTATTTTTTATACATCCTTGTTGGGTATATTTTAGAAAAAAAGTCAGTTTTCTACTTAACCATGACTCGTGCGCCCTCTAGCGGCAAAGCTAGAAACTTGAAAATAATTTCCAGCGATTTCCCTTGGCCCCTTTTGTTAACAAAATTTTTTTCCCGAAGCTTCGCAATCAACGGTTCCATAGATACGTCCTGTGACCATTATTAATGGGACACCCTGTACAGCGCCTGCGTGCAAAAATTACTTAAATGTATTTCAGATTAGATACAAAAGGTCCCAAACACGGAAAGGAAGACCCCAAAAATGAACCACATGTAGGTGGAAACACATGGGCTGGTGGTACCGGTGGACGGGACACAGCAGGGTTGGGTGGTAAAGGGGGACCATACCGTTTGGATAAAGGTCACAAAGTTCATCAGGTATACTTTCTCCTTTTTTTGCCAACTTGATTTTAAATCTTAGCTAGTTGTCAGATGAGGAGAAAGCAGCAGTTCCAGAACATATAAAGCGAGCCGCAAGAGAAATGGGAAGGAAAGCATTTGAAGAACGGTTGAAAGAAATTGGAATGAGTGGATATGATGCTTCTTTGTATGCTCAGTTCTCAGGCGCCGTTTCTAAGCAAGTGCTGTCATTAAGGATAATCCTAGGTTCACTTCAAGCCAAAAATAAGGAGAGGCAGTGGACTAAAAATAAAACATCGGGCGAATTAGACGACACGAAACTAATAGATGGTATGACCAATGGATCGGTGACAGGTAAATTAATTACCTTTTTGTTACTGTAGGACTACTTGGTGAAAAAACCATTTTTCGCAGAAGAACCGAACTTGAACCTGAGTTAGGCTCACCACAAATTAAACCCAAAATGTTGCGCCTTGTTGTGGATGTTTCAGCGAGCATGTATAGGTATGGTATAACATAACCGATATAAGAACACTTAAAGCGTTTGTTTTAGGTTTAATTCTTACGATGGACGACTGGACAGGCAGTTGGAGGCAGTCGTTCTACTAATGGAAGCTATGGAAGGATTCGATGACAAAATACAATATGACATAATGGGGCATTCGGGAGATGCGCACGATATTAAATTTATTACAAAAGGTAATCCACCCAAGAACAACAAAGAGAGACTAAATATACTGAAGGTAAGATTATCAATTGAAGTACTTGTTACATTTTTATTTTTTTAGACTATGTATGCCCATTCACAGTTTTGCTTTGCGGGCGATAACACATTAGAAGCCACAGAATTAGCAATTAAATCTATGTCGGATGGAGATTTTGACGAAGCTATTGTGGTAGTACTTTCAGATGCTAACTTACAACGATATTCCATACCATCATCGGAATTGGCGAAGGTTTTATCTCAGTCAGAAAAAATTAATTCGTACGCAGTTTTTATTGGAAGTTTAGGTGATCAAGCCGAAAGGTAAGCATTATGACCGTACTGGAAAATATACTTTTAAGTGATAAAAAGCCTTCTGAAGGACGCCTAACTTTATGCAATCAAAATAACACTTAAATCAAATGAAGATCTGCCTGTTCCAATTGGTACAGTCCCGGTAACAGATTAAGAGATTTATTTTCTGTGAAGCCAAAGCAACAATATTCAAAATAAGTAATATGACAGCCAGATTTGTTTCAAGAAGTTATTTTGGTTGCATAAAATTAGGCGTCCTTCAGAAGACTTTTTATCATTTGAAAGTAGACATAGGAAATCCTACTTCTACATGAATATCACTGTATATTAAACACTTAACGTCTATTTTAGATTGACACAAAGTTTACCAGCCGGCAGATCATTCATTTGTAAAGATGTATCCACACTGCCTCAAATTTTAAAACAAATATTTTCCTCATCTGTTATTAATTTTTAGATGTCTATATTTTATTTAGGTTATTATTTTTAATAACGATGTGTTAAATAAAAATTGTTGGAATTTATTGTTATGTAATCCTATCTGTATATGTTTCTCCTTCATACCTCATTTGCATCTTCGCTTCCTGCAAGTCTTTCTCGTAATACTTTTAGGTTTTCTTCATCCCATCTCGTCATGTCATCGATCCTCTCCACAACTTTTTTTACAATCTCTTCACATTTTCTTCAGATCTTTTTTAATGCCCAACCGCCTCCTTCAACCGTTGATTGTGCTTCCATTGCATCTCCTTTACCCTAATCAACTGCTTCACGGTTCTCGGTTCTCTTCCCCCTAAACTTCTTTTATACGTTTTACGTGTCATATTTACACTATTATTGTGCCTATTTTTAATTAAGTCTTACTCGCGTTTTCTCTGCATTTTTTCTCCTCTCCAAATCTCCCATTCATTCTTGTTTCTACTTTAGATCTTTTTCACATTACCTGTACGTTCCTCGGGTGTTTTTAGACGAATTTCTAGACGATTTCCCACAAAATTTCTTTAGGCCATGTGAAAAGTCGTTTCGGGTTTAAGCTTTCTTTACTATGGAATTTATAAGTATAAATTCAATGTCCTTACATTGCCCTGCCGCAATATGCAACTGTTTCATACCTCCCATATAGCTATGTACTTTCCATGCCTCTTCAGACTCGTCACTCCCAAACTGCTTTATGTCTTCTAGGCCACTTTTTGTCGCTTTTTCCAATAAAGTTGGGTGCGCGTGCGCTATTGCAGCCACTTTCTCTATCTGCTCGCCCGACCCCTACAGCGTTCAATATATTTATTTGTAGTTTTTCCATTGGGTATAACGCTCTGGCAAGAAAAACTTGACGATTAATGCGCAAACTGCACAATATCAACTTGCCTATTTATTAATGTATTTTGTTGAAATTTTAACGGCAAATGCTACTAATAAAGGTAAACATGCCGCATATAACGGGCGATCAGAAATGAGTTGCTGTCGAGTCGCCTTTGGAAGTACGATTTCTCATTGTAAACAAAAATTCCAAAGATGACTCGCAGCAACTCATTTTTGATCGCATGGTGGTAAAATTTAGCTGTGCGCATGCGCAGATCTTTTCTATTTATGGAGATAGAAATTTTAAATAAAAGCAATCTATGCCCACGTAAAAATTGAAATACGCACATGCGCAGAATGTTGTATATATAAATAATCCGTTCTGATGTGATCTTTTGGGATATACTGATCACTGCATGGAAAAGCGCTAAAGTTACTCGCCAGAGAGCGAAAGATTTAATTATAAGCAAGTAATAATAATAATGTTTATTTAGTAAAAAACAAACAGGTATAATCAATGAGTATAAGAGTTACTTATTCAATGATTATACCTATTACTTGCTTATTTCATACCACATGATTGTGCAACCATTCACGTCAGTTATAATTTATAAGTTAATGGTCAAAGCTTTTGTTTTTTCTTGTAGAAACCATATATGGTTATTGCTGGATGTAAAATAGTATATTAAGATGCAAGCGTATAATCAAGTTTTTAAAGCACGCGCAACGAGTTTAATGGCACGACGCGAATTATAAAAATTATAAAAACGCCGAAAAGCATACTCTATAAGATATAGATGCCCAATATAATTTTAACAAAAAAAAATCAATGTATAGTCACTCCATGTTTTGAATAACGTAGGTAACAAAAAAATTTGCTGTGTCTAGCACATATACCACCCCCACCCGTATACCTGCGCATGCGCGTTCTGCTCAAAAGACAAACTATTCTGCAACCCTTTCCTTTATGTCTAACAATATGTGTACCAAATATGGTTCTAATCGGTTCAACCGCGGTTTCGCCGGGAATGAGAGTACAGACGGACCGACATAATTGAGATTTTGTTTGATTCGGATTTCTGGTGCTTCAGAACGTGTATTTCCGTAAAAAAAGGCTACTTTTTTAGCCCTGTGTACCTACTTCGACGAAGACAGACAGACGGACAATGTGCATTATTAATAGCCTAAGCATTGAATTCTCGATTAAAGTTCGCCATGTCGTAAATATATAAATAACAATTACGTTGTACTTTGCGATCAAATCATATTATTTGCATTTACGCATTTAATAATATTTACTTTTCCATTTTTCCATGATTGCTTAAAAGTGGGCGGGATTACGACATGTTTGACGCCCGGATTGGTGCATCGAGTGATACGCTATAATCGATTAAAAAGTATTTTAAAAAAGAAAGTATAAATTTACAATTAATTTAATCGCATTCTCTCGAAGAAAGGGCAATAATAAATTAAATGACACGAAATAGCCATATTGTTTATTTAAATTTTAGGTTGGTATTAGACAGGACGCGATGGCGAATTGCATTATGGGAAAGTAATGTACGTCTATGACAAGTAAATTGGTGTGTCCTTTACTTGTTCAAAATAAGTAAACAATTACCAGTAAGTCTGCTTGTTTATTTCCCATTCTACGTTTTTAATCACATTCGAACCTAAGGATCGATAGCGGTACCCCCCTTCATTAGTATTTGTTTGTTTATCTTGCGGTAATTTTTATAGAACAGTTTTATGTACACATGAAAAACCCTTCTGGTTTATTGACAATAATAATCAACCCTATTTCTACATTGCAGTCTTCATGACAGAAGGTGTCTACAATGTGTGATCAAACACCGGTTGAATACAAAGATGGGGACATAGTATGGGTTAAATTAGGCTCGTGTTGGTGGCCAGGCGAAGTGCAAGACATAAAAAGTATCGACGAGGAAATCATAGCTGTACCAAAGAAACCTATTATCGCCGCTGTCAAGTTCTTTGACGAAGATTGCTAGTAAGTCACCGACCGCAAGTGTTTCTCCATTAATTTCACTTCGTTCCAGTGAGTTCATTAAAAGTATCGATCGAATCTATCTGTACAATTGCTCGAAGAAGAACGAGTTTATTAGGAAGGGATTGGGTAAGTTACGTCGCGTACGAGAAAGCGGAAGTCGAGAAATACGCGCTCATTTCAGATTTGCATAGAGCGAAACACGAGTACATGAAAAAATTTCCGACCGACGTCTCGAAAGCTGAAGAAAGAACAAATGGCGATCCGAAGATTATCGACGATCCAATTTTTGCGCCGGAAAAAAAATCGAATGTCGCCGCACTCATTTTTGGTACACCTAAACAAAAGAAGTCTACAAAAAAGTCTCTCGGAAGTGGACAGAAAGCATTATCGACTAGTAAGTAGCGCATAATTGCGTGGTGTGGGTCCATTTTGTTTGATGTATTTCTGTGACAAAACTGAGCAAAATAGTTTCTGCGTGTGCCTTTATTTTAGAGTATGCAAGTCTGATGAACGCTGACTAATTCACAGAGACCACCCATAATAAAAAGTTGTCGAACTAGTGAATGAAATTACAGCAAACTTTCATAAGATTTTTCATCATACCCTGTATATTTATTAGTAGAAGCATTGAGCAGATACATGCTTGTGGTTAGCGGTACATTTTCAAAGTGTACTAGATCGAACACGGACATAACACAAACATATACATGAAGTAAAGAATTGGGCAATATCCATTGGATGTACTTTCTAAAGCCTTGGGCCAATTAATGAACTTCCATATGACGTACATCTAGGTGTTTATGCGAGGGGTAAATCTCTGGTGACATTTTACACGCAAATGGAATTTTTGTTTAATTTTTTGACATTTCTGTGTATTTCTCGCATTTTTGTGGAATTTTCAACTCGCTATCTAGTATGCTAGATTATTAGCCGTTACCTATTTTTAGAGTGAACATTTACCGAAGTAAGTTCTCCCATAGTCCATGATCCATAGTTATTCATTTATTTTTTATGAAGATACGTCAGTACCAATTTGTGTTAACTGCCACAAATGGTAGGTAATTAGCAAAGCGTACATGTGCACTAATTTTCTTCTGCATCTTCTGAAATTAAAGGGAGGAGTTAAATTAAACAGCAGAGGAAAGGAAAAAAGTAAAAATGTAGTAGATTTTTATCGTAATGAATTCCTAAATTACAATGTATTATGCGAATTTACTCTCAGCCACAGTGCTTTATCTAGAGCACTACGAGTACTATACAACTGTAATAATTATACTGCTTTTTCATTTATTGTTATTTTATTTTTGTGTGTATGAAATGGTTCGTACTGAAACAAGTGTATTCCCGGGAAAAAATATACTTATGCAAGAATTTGTAGCCAATGAACTTTGTTATCTAATTTATTACCTACCATGTAATGCGTAGTAATTTATAGCACAGTTTAAGTTCTAGTAAAGATAATACTACACTAGATAGACACCGTAAATGGAAGATGTTAACCTCTTATTTAGTTCTGTAAAGAAAATATAGGGGGCTTTTGCAAAGAAGTCGTAGTCGTACGTATTCGACACACGAGCTGTATTATATTATCCCATCCATGACCTACTCCACATTCCTTTACGTATTTACATAGATTAAATTACATTTAAAGCGAGCCACATGCGGTTCTTTTGATATAAGTTGAGGCTCTCTGCATTTATCTAAAAAAACTAGTTCATCTTTTTCAAAATTCGCCTTTTAATTAATTTGTAACACTTGTTTATTTTTGGCATTCTTTTGTTTTTTATTATCACAGCCTACTCTGGTGTATAAACATGTTTGTGAAAAAATTTTAAATAGCCTAAAAACTACGGGGTTTAACACGTTGAGTGCCACGAGAAATTTTTGAAATTTTTTTTAAACTAGAACTAGAATCAATGGTATTAAAGAATCCATACCTTGATTTGTTTAAAATTCGATTGTTATAAAATCATGGCCAACTACTAAAAAGAAACTGCGAAAAAAAATGGCATCAATTCCGAGATCAATTCAATGAAATGGGAATAAATCAGAAACTGTTAAAGATAGCTATAGGAACATGTATTGTCAAAATATGCCCATTTCGATTCTCTATCTTATGGAATAGTAAGAACATGGTCATTCCATTTAAAAAAACTGAATTTTTAGTCTTTGAAGTTTCATAAATTTGGATATCCATAGGGGCGGTCGTACGCAACTTAACTTTTTTTTAAGTGCACTAAAAGAAAGCCCTATTCATTCTCTATGCACTGATAAAAATAGGTTGCCATGACTACAACCGTTTTCAAGTAATCAATTATCAAGGTACCATCTGCATCCGCCATTTTTTTTTCTTAAAGTCAAAATAACTTAAAAACCATAAATGGTAGATATCGACATATGGGTATCAAAAGAAGTGAAATTTCACGTAGAATCCAAAAATGCAATAAAAAATAGGGGTTGCCATTTAAAATAACGAAGTTACTATCTACTTCCGATGTTTCCGGAAGTGCGGCCATTTTGAAAATATTTTACATCGATTCGGCCTTCAGAGTAACTCCTAAGTACAAATTCAAAAACCTACCTATTTTACTTTACCAGAAACTTTTAACTAAAGCTCCCAAAAAAACACCCTGTACAAGAGGGAATTTTTTTTTAAATATTGATTTATGAAAAAAATTTATTCTTCATGATATGTTTTGCTTGCTTTGAAAGTACCAATAACGTTTCGATAATCTAAAATTTATTTATAAAAATTTGGAAAAATAATAAAATTAATTTTTTTTTATTGAAAGTTATCATTCTACATTATAATTAAAATAGAGTATTACTATCAAACCACAAACAATCGAAACGTTATTGGTACTTTCAAAGCAAGCAAAAAATATTATGAAGAATAAATTTTTTTCATAAATCAATATTAAAAAAAATTCCCTCTTGTATACCCCATCGCTTTACACACTGTACATTTGTTTATTTAAAAATAAAAATAATAAATTTAATAAAAACTGCTGCAACTACCGAGTGGTCCCTAGGGACCGCCGTGGCCCTATCACGTGTTAAGCACAGTACACCCCTTATAAAAATTGAAGAGAACACAAAAGACAATCGAATAGCGAAATAAAATAGTAGTTCCATTTAAAAAACAATAGTTTTGGCACTTGAAATTTGGACCACCTTGTATAGCTAAATCCAACTTTCTCATTATCAAAGTGTTGTCCTTTTCTCGGATTAACATTATTGATCAAATGTATTTCTTAACTTCAAAATCAAGGTAGCTACGATTTCATCAAAGTGAGGGTTGCTTATGGCGAATCATTCGGAAAACAATTAATGAGATGACAACTTTGACAAAAAATCAAAAAGTGAATAGGTTTCCATGTAGAGGTTAACAAATGATATTGAAACAAGAGTTATTTATTGACACAGTGGTCCAAGTTGGACACTTTCTTATGGAAAAACCCTTCACTTTAACAGATAGAAAAAAATAGGCCTAGGTGTCTGGAGCTCAATTTTAAAGAGAAAATCACTGGCGTAAACAAAATGCAGCTATCTCTAATCGTGGGGGTCACTAGGGGGCGTTTCTCGAAATTTAGTCGATTCCCTTAATGCTCCATAACGTCCTTATTATTAGAGATCATTGATTTTGGCACAATCTTCCTTAGAGCATTTTTTTATGTAGACTCCATCGCGATCGCAGTTTTTATACAGGGTGTTTGGTTTTTCTTGTACGACCCTAAACTACATTTTTTCATAGATCACCCTATATATCGTGGAGTTATTGAAAAGAGCGTAAAATTTCTTACATTGTGATGTCTTCACTTATTATATTTATATTAAATATTATTTTCAATATTGCATTTTACACATTAAAATATTTAGATCTAGATTTCCATGGTGAACAAAAGATGACAGGATTGTTTAAAACTACAATTTTTTGAGTATCTGTGTTATTTGTTTTGTATTGTATTATTATATGACTTATTTGTTTTATTCACGAGTATCCATGTTCTTTGTTTTTTGTGTGTTATTTGAAATATACTAATATACAGACTGATTCAAATTCGAGGGCCACCATGGGGATCTCGGAACTGTAAGGGATAGGTAGGTAGTTTAAATTTGGCAAAGTTGCGTATTTTGATGATTAACAAAATGCAGTTTTGAAACTTAAAAAATTCATACTACTTTTGGAAATATCCGGAAAACACCGAAATTTTGCAGAATCGTTTTTATTTTTTACTGAAGTCATTTAAAAAGATATTTCGAAATAAATAACACATTATTATGGCGTGACACGTGAATTAAACAAAATCATATAATATGTTAAAAAAATAATGCAGATAACCAAGAAATTGTAGTTTTAAACAATCCTGCCAGCTTTTGTTCGCCATGGAAACCTAGATGTCTGCAATAAAAATATTTTTTTCATTACTAGCGTCTGATGACATGATTATCAACCTTTTTTCCACTTATAAAGTAGGCTTTCTCGGCAGTGGTTCAAAGTGGTGCCACCATCCATTTCCAGAGAAATTACATACTCAAAATTATTACATTTTGAAAAAATTTGAACTTTTTGAAAGCATCTCAATGACAGAACAAAATACGGCCTACTTGACTTTTACTTCCACACACTTGATTGACATAACAATATATGTTAATTTAGAGGACTTCCAGTACTAATAGTGAAAAAAATAGTATATATACCATTGCAGAACGCCTCGGGATGTAATCTTGGTGCTCAAGCAATAATACTAGACTTCTCTACATTGGTATATAATGTACTACTATGTATAAAATGCAATACTGCAAATAATATTTAATATAAATATAACAAGTGATACATCAAAATTTATAAAATTTTAAAAAACTCCAAAATATATAGGGTGGTCCTTACGAAATAATGTAGTTTAGGGTCGTATAAGAAAAACTAAACACTCTGTATAAAAACTGTATAATACGATGGTCCACATAAAAAAGTGCCCTAAGAGAGAATTTTCCAAAAGAATAAGAAAGTTATGGGGCATTAAAGAAATCGATTAAATTCGAGAAACGTCCCCTATCGGCCAAATGATTAAAAGATAGCGCCAGTGATTTTTTTCTCTTTAAAATTGAGGTCCATTTTTGTCTGTCTCTTAAAATGAATGGTGTTTCAATAAGAGGGTGTCCAATTTGGACCACCTTCTACATTCAAAATAATTTCTGTAGATGCGTAACCATGTAAGTTGCCATTTACGCAATAGATTTTTTTAATATATTTTATCAGGTATGAGCTAGGGAAGATCGACGCAATGTTGCAGGACCTTGTATATAATCAAATATTATAATATTGAATCGAAAATGTTCAGTAGCTTTTTAAAACTGGAAAATTTTGTAATATGTAACTTTTGGGTCTTCCGCTGCAACAGTTCGCCGATCCCTGGTCTAGACTGTATCTTCAATTACGTTTTAGCGATTTTAAATGTTGTGCAATCATTTCTGTAGTTGGGAAATCTCCTTTAGCTTAACTACTATTATCCTGTTTTGACTACAGAGAGATTTGTGATTCGTTAGGGGATGGTAGGTATAAGAGGGTGTTTACGTAACTTAGAGTAGGAAATTATTCCACATTGTAGCGTTTTATAATTATAACAATTGAAGGTGACTTTGAACTCAATTCAATTAATTACGATTTTTGTTATCGGCTTGTGCGATGGGTCGGGCGTTTTTGTTTATTCTATATGTTGAATTTGTTTATAATGGTTTTTTTGCATATATCTACCAAATGGCATGATCTTTCATAACTCGCGAATATTTATATTACTTCAATACTGTTATGGAATGGATTTCAAAACATAATTCTATATGATAATGAGACAGGTCATGTCTCAGCCAAAATGGCAGGCACCTGAGCTCTAATCTAATTCTAAGATAACATGTGTACCCTTTGTGAAATTATGAGGGAAATAAAATGCCCAGATGTCGTATAAGTTGAGAGCTATTACAATGTAATTGTACAATGCAAATCGGAAACGAAATAAGGAAGTAAGTGAGTATCCCGCTTGGAAGGTTTTCAGTAGCTCTTTTTCTTTCCTTGTAAACAACGAAGACCCTAGAGCTACTCCTATATTAATGAGAGGGAAACCCTTGTATGTATTTTGATTGTTTTTAGTGAATTTAATTAAAAATAGTAGTTCCGTTCAACTGACCTGTATGTAGTGTTTAAATCTGTGAGATTACCTAAGCATACACATTTTTCCAGAATCAACTCCAAGTTCAGCAAAATCTTCGAAACAAACGAAAGTAATCACACATCCCCGATTTCTCGGATACGATGACCACGAAGTGAGAATTCTTGTTCAGTCATCCGAACAAGTTGATGTACCACAAGAAGAACCGGAGGAAAAAGTGATGTACAAATGTGCGGCGTGCGGTTTTTCGACGGAACGTGTAGATGTCTCTATTATGCATCACAAGTCTCACATACAAGGATTATTCCCGGCGCCTGTAAGTTCGCCAAAGTTAAAAAAACGAACGCAGACCAAACGGCCGAGAAAGTCGAAAATGACCAAATCTAAAACGACGTCAATTATGGAAGATTTACAGTTGATAGAGCAAGGGTTGTTCTTCCACTCCGAGTCAAGCGAAGATGATAGTTTAGACGCAGAAAGTTCACCGAAACGCAAAAGGAAGAAGACTAAACGCAAACCTTCGAAAAATACGTCAGCCGAAAAACGTGAAACTGTTATCGATATACGCGGTGATCTGCTGGCGGAGTGGGACGAAGATGATAGCGAAAATGAGACAGATACGCCACCTTTAAATATATCACAGCCTGTTGAACCGATAGAGCAGAATGACGAGGTCAAAGAGGCGGGGGTGGTAAAAGAGAAGTCCTGTTTTGATTTTAATGACGAAGATGAAGATGAAATAGTTAGTGCGTCGGGCGGAAGAAAAATTCCCAGAGTTATTCCACCTCCAGATAGACCGAGAAGTATTGATTTGGAAAATCCCATATCGTCGTTGGAGAATGTCGGAGCGAGCAGTCCGCAAAATGGTTTCAGTATAGTCGAAGAAAGTCCAGTTGAGCATACAAGTGGCAATATGGAGTTGTCCGTTGATAGTACCTTGGATCGGAATGAGATTTTGAAAATAATACATCAAGTAGACGAAAGTAGCGAAGAACAGTTACCCGGGCGTTTAGACAAGGAGAGCGAAGATTTGTTAGAGAAAGATAAAATGGAAGACTTGGATCTCGCCTTTAAAGATATTCTTGAAGCGACTGTTGTACCGGATTTACCCGAAATACCACATTCCTTAAAATTCGAACAGAATCCTTACGAGCCTAAAGTAACCAAACTTCCGGAAAAATCTCCCGTATCCGAAGTGAAATCGACCGATGCGGAGATGGCTGCGCGGTTAATCAACCCGAAAAAGCGCTTTGTCAAAAGTTTCGAAGATTTCGAACAACAGATACATAACGAACAAAAGAAACTGCAATTAGAGCAGGCTGTGGCCGCCATCAAGGAAAAAAATGAGGAAGTCAAAGAGTTGGGTAAACTAGAAGCGACTGTGGAAGTAGCCAAGCTGAAAACGCAGCTGAAAAATAAGCTAGATAATGCGGACTATGTCGAGGAGAGTAAGCCGAAACGTCCGCGACTGTTGCGGGATCGCATTTTGTCGAGTCATAGAGAAGAACTCGAGGATTTGCACAAAGAAGTTCCCAAAGAATTTGATTTAATCGATACCCACACTACTACTAGCGATTATAGTTCGGTTATTTCACTACCGCGTGCTACAAGTACTGTACCCGATGATTTGTTAGAGTCATCGTACACAATCACAAGTGATGACAAAGAGAGTCCCCCAACGGAATTATCTGTTACTAATGAAGAAGATAGTCTGAAAGAACCTATAATTGAAGATGAGCATACCAGACCGAGAAGACTGTCGATAAAAATGTCCGAAATTAACGAGACTCCTTTTGAACTCAAAGAAACGACTCAACTACTCGAAGTTGAAACTGAAGAAACGTTACATTTAAAACCGACTCAAGTATTTGACATCAGTAAAGAATCTGTTAACATATCAGAGGTGGAGCCTCTTATTGAAACTGAAACCGTAAATAGCAGGAGTGCAGAAGTTGAAAGTTTAGAGGTTGATGCTGTGCATAGATCCGAAGTAACGGAGAAGTCGCACGAGGTTGATGAAGTCGAAGCATTAGGGGCGGAAACTAAAGAATCTGATCATCCGGAAGAAATGGAAGAACCAAAAGTATCTGAAGCGGAGATTAAAATATCGGAAGTAATTGAAGAAGGTAAAACAATTGAAGAGATTGAGGTCGAAGAAGTTAGCCATAATGTGGAGGAGTCAATTACGACTGATATTGTGACTTCGGAGGAGATCGAAGAGCAACCTCTTCTTCAGGAATCTGTGATAGTTGACGATGTGCCTTCTTTGGCAGGTGATGTTTTTGATAACGGCCAACACACGGTCGAGGATTTGTCCGCGTTAACGACTTTGGCGGCCGTTTCCGAACTATCAACCAATCTAACTGTATCGACGGCTCTTAATGAGAAATCGAAAATTATCGAGGACAATTTGACATCGATCGATAAAGGTAATCTCAATTTTGTTACGATGGACGATTTAGCCGAAGGACAAGTGGAAATTTCGGACGTTTGCGTTTCTAAGGTAAAATCGAGTCCGATGAATTTGATGAACTTCTCCGTCGATTTCGGTGATTCGAGTAGTCCGGTGTCTAGCGGAAAGGTGGCGTCTCCCGCTTCGAATGTGAGCGAGGAGGAGATTCATCAGCCGGATTCGATAGAGATGTCGTTGGGTAAGGTGTTTGAAGGCGAGAGTGAGGTGTCGAAAAGCGACTCGCAAGGCGGCGAATTGAAGGAAAAGGGCGAAGAGCAGACGTGCAGCTCCGTAGTTTCGAGCAATTCTAAACCATTTTTAAAGAAACCAAGAAAAAGTGTGTCCGAGAAGTTTAAACCGCCCGAATATTCTAGTTCTTCGAAGTTATTGGAGATCTTGACGGATTCGAAACCGAAATCTTTGCATTCGGATGTCGGTGAGCAATTGCCGAAAACTGTCGCGGCACTATGTGTGGAATCTCCTTCGAGTACGCTTTTGTCGAAGTGCAAAAGTGAAAAATTTTATTCTACAAAAGAATCTGTTCCTTTCACCAAGCATTTGCTCAAGGGCAAAGAGATCCCGAAAGAAATTAATGTAAGTCAAGTCATGGCCAAACCGAAGGACGAGAAATATAGCATATCCAAGGACAATTTGAGTATCGCTAAAAATGTTAAGTACGACAGCAAGAATTCTAAATTCATTTTAAAGCCGACAGCGAGCATTAAGTCGTATTCGTCTAATAAAAGCTGTAAGCCCGTTATACTTTCCGAAAAAATAATTAAAAGAATGCCCGAAACACAAGAGGGGGTCTCTGTGCGGAAAGTAACGTCAAATAATGCTCAGGATTTTGAAGATATTGACGCGTACATTATTCAGAAACCTTTGAAAAAGGTTATTCCAAAGGAAGAGGAGGAGGTTACCGATCCACCGGCGACTAAGAAAGCGGTACCTACCAAAGGAAAGGCCAAAATATTGCAACAAACCATCATCAAACCTGCAACTGCCGAATTGACCCAACAGTCTCAAGATGATGCCATGTTTGATATCAATTCGATGCCCATCGTCTTGGGGGATCAAATTCTCACGACCGACGGTATTGAAAAAATGCCCGTCGTTATATCCGAAGAGCAACAAGCTCCAAAAACTACGGAACAGCACGTGTTAATATCAAACAAGGCGGTGACACCTCAGCCTCTTATTCTTAAGACTTACTCTTCGCAGAAAGTTGGTAAATCGCGCATCTACCAGCCCACGCCGACTACTACAACAAAATTAATAAAGTCGAGTCCGACGATTATATCCAGACCCGGGAAGCAAGATAAGTATATCATCCTGCCGGGTACCACTACTTCGGCCACTTCTAAGTATGCCGTAGCTAAGAGGCCCGGGGCTACAAAAAGGATGACCCCGGTCATACTACCGACTCCAAGTGTCGCGTCGAAGTTACAAGCTACAACTGAACCTTCCGGTAATAAAATTATGATCGTGACAAATCAACAGGGGCAACAATCTCGCGTTTTACTAACTCCCGCGCAACAAAAAATTTTCGGGTATCCTAACACAAGTTCGAAATTAGTAAAAAGTACAATCAAAGGTAACATTCTGCAGAAGACCGGCGCAAGGACGTCGTCTCCCATAACTAAAATACAACCGCACGGTGGCGGTGAGATCACAACTGCGTCTCAAACGATAATGAGTACTGAGCCGGTGTTGGTTTCTGTTAAAAGTTCCCCCCTGAGACCAATTAAATCCGATCTTTCTAAAAATCGCAAGTTTCAAGTGCAACATCAAAAGGTTCCTCTTCAGGAAGGGCTGAGCACGTTTAAAAATAGTACACTACCCAGCCAGCAGAAGATGATCATTATTAAAAATCAACAAGGTCAGATCGTGAAAAGATTTCAAGGCACCGACGATGCATTGTTAGAGCAACAGGTTGCGGAGCAAGTGCAAGCGATAAAAGCGAACAGCGGTAGTTTTAGTCCGATGAATTTGACCACCAAGGTAAAGCCGCCGGTAAAACGTACATACATTAAAAAACCGGAAGCTCAAAAAAGTACGAAGGTAGCTACTAAAATTGTAAAAAGCGAAAGCGTTCCACCCCTCGCGCCTATATCACCAAAGAGGACGGATACACTTTTGCTACCGCAAACTGTCGTGAAAGGTGATGCCCCCTCACAAAAACCTGAAGCCGTCCAGCAAAAACCCCTGAATCAATTGATCATTCAGGACGCCCTTGGTAATCAAACGACCATCATGGAAGGGCAAATACTGGCGCTTCCAAGTGGAGAAACGGTCGATGGCCAGCCTCAGTCGTATATGCTCGTCACTCTTGACGAATCGGGAAATTTGGCACCTTTAAACAATGAAGCTTTGTTGTCTTTAGATCCTAATTTAACGCTAGGAGGCGATTTAAGCAATATGGTTCTGCAATTAGACGATGGAGCTGCGAAAAAGAGTCTAACGAAACTGGAACCGTCGCCTGCGCTCAGTGAAGCGTCGAAATCCGTCGAAACACCCGAATTACCAAAGACAGAGGCCTTGATTGAGGCGGTAGCGACACCAAAATTGGAGACTGAACCGTTACCTTCCGTCGATCCGCAACCAAACGTGCAAACGGTCACGTGCAGCATCAATAACGACCCCAATCAGCAACTTATAATAACGGGCGATCCGATTAGCACTCAGAAGTTCATCGAATCGCTAACAGAGGGCAACGCCGACCTAGCGAATCTTTTGGCGAGCGCCGAAGGCAACATTTTAATTCAAACCGACGAACAACAGATACTCATAAACACCGACTCTGAGAATCAAGTCCTGCTACCGCTCGGTTCGGAAAGACTCGACGCTCCCGAGAGCGACTCGAACCCGATTTTCGCCACTCAGCCCGTAAAAAATCAAGACATTCTGGCAGCGGCGTTGGCCGATACCGACGTATTCCAACAAGAACAAACCGTATCTCCGATACACAATAAGCTCGGACCGTCGCAACTGAGTCCGAACAGTGGGTTATACCCAACCGGTGTCGCTAACGTTCTGGAAACCACCCTCAGTCTCAGTTCCCCGATAATGACACCGTTAGAAGTTCCTAGCACTAACAATAAAAAGATTCCCGACGAAGAAATGGACATTCTTACTACGGAAGTACCGAAAAATGTAGATCTACCGATTACTATTACGGATCCGAACATTTCGCAGACCGTCGCACAACAGCAGGTCGTTTCGCTGATGACGAACGAGCTGGGGGCTAATTTGGAATTACCCCTACCGCTTGCCGACCAAGTGGTTGTACCCGCAACCGAAATGCACAGTCCCTCGTACGGTTTTCCTCTATCGTCGTTAGAAGACTCGGTAACGGGCGTGGACGTACAAAAATCGTTCAGCGGACCGATTTCCATGCCGCTTTTAACGGAAGACGACCCTCAAGAATCAAGTGTGTCCGAGGTCACTATCGAGTGTAGCGAAATAAGCGAAGAAATCGACAAGGAGGACATGATGGAAGATGACTGCTTGAAGAAGAAAATTAAACGGACATCGTTATTAGAAAGTACGGATAGTATTATAAAGGACGACGCGAAATCTCTTACGGCGAGAAGCTTTTTGGGAACGCCTATGACGTCAGAGGAAGGGTTATGTACTTTGGGAGGAGCCATGTGCAGTTCGCTCAGCGAGCCGCCGCCGGACATGTTTGATTTGTCCATAGTTAGTTCGCACTTTGTAACCGGCACCGATATCAAAACTCCCGAGAGAACGGAATTGATCGAGATTCCGAAATCGACAACGCCAGAAGTGAATGAAAACAGTCAAGAATTCGAAAGTTACGAAGAAAATAAAATCGACAATGACGCGCCTCTAAGATCCCCCGTCGATTCACCCGCAGTTCATATTGACGAAAATTCTTGCGAGATACCGGTGCAACCGCAAATTGTTACCGATCTAACGTCATCGACATTCGACAGTATGGATACCTCAAATTTTGAATCGACAAAAAGAACAGAGGACGATGAAAGTAATGACCGTAAGGAGTTTGACTGAATTTATATTAATTATTGAATTGTATATAACTGTATAGTCAAAATTTGCAAGAAAAGTGAACATTACTCTCATCACTTGACGATGTTGTGTACATAGCGTTTTTACATACCTACGTATGTATATAATTTTAAAACGATTTACTTTCTATTATTGGTTATTTTGTAATTTGTCATATATCATTGCTTTAAAACATTTTTTAGACTACTATTCGGCACGAAATCGGATTTTCGAAAATCTGATTGTCAAGTGTACAATTTTAGAATAGTGAAATAGAACTGTGTATTTTGTGTGAAGAAGTGTTTGGTATCGGTATAAATGAACAATAAATTAGATATACATAGTTAAGTTTAAAATTGTCTATTATTATAGGAATTATTATAGTTTCAATTCGTATCTGTACTTTATTGTAATTCATAAAATATACCTAAATTGCTTTTTTAAATATTTCATTTATGGCTGCCTACTAGTGCAGGGGTTAAGAGCCAAAATAGGTTTCAACCTTGCATTTTGTGATAACTTTATGAAACTTTCAGAGGATGTTCTAGACACCCTAAGGTTCAATTTCAGCTATGCCGCCACCCCCGCAACCCCGGACGGCACTTGCTATAGCGGGTTTCTTAAGCGCAAGGTAGCATTTCAATACCCGCCCATAAAATGGGTCAAAAATGTATGTCCAGGGTTTGTTTTGTATTTTCTTACATCTAGGAAGGTTGAAGGGAATTGTCAAATACCCAGGGAGAATTTATTTAGGGTATTTTACGTGGTTTGCCTATTTTTAAGGCGCTTTTAACAGTGCGGACTAGGGAATGCAATCCCGCAGCAAAATCTCAATCCCGGTATTTGCGGGATTGTTAGATGTTAATCCCGCGGGATCCCGGTATTTGCGGGATCTCGCAAAACTTTAAATAAATTGGCAAATAAGCAATTCTGTGCGGTTAACTTCTGTATTAAAATAAATCGCTAATTATCACAATATTTAACAAAAAAGTATTTTCGGCCTAACTTAGAACTCAAAAAAACCTTGCCTGTAAAGCACAAAAGGTCTTCTAAAGTGCCTCAAAAATCATAGTACATTTTTAACGAAAAAAGTTTAACAATTTTTTAAAAAATAATTCGCCGTTATCAGTTTCATTAACAAAGTAAACAGAGTCGTCCCCTTGGTCGACAAATTCCTCAGTCCCGCTCCATTTATGTGCGGGATTAATCTCGCAAAAATGCTGCAGGGTCCCGCAATCCCAATATTGCATTCCCTAGTTTCTAGTCTATAACTTGATTGAGAAGTCTGATCGAAAAAGTACGAATTGTTTTGGATTCTACGCACCAAAATTAATAAGAAAAAGTGTTTTCCCGAGAAATTTTGGTGCAGTCGATTTTTGGTAAAAAAGGAAGGTTTTACACTGCCTTTTTTTGAGGCCCGAAAAAAAAGGGGGTGTATAACCTTCCTTTTTTACCAAACTTCGCGCTCATCTGCAAAATATCTGTTCCCGCACTAATAATGTAAATAACTATATAAAACCTTTATATGCGCAGGAAACCGGATTTGTGTTTGTAACTCAAATACTTTCGCAAATATTTAGTATTCGAATACTTCACCAAGTATTGAAATACTTTGCGAAGTATTCGAATACCTTTAAGTTATTCAAATATATGAGAGCTATTTAGACATTTTTAGGGGTAGTTTCCATTATCACAAAATCAAATATAAAAATCCGATACAACTGAATACCGATCGATCCTGTAGTGAAACTTTTTGACCCAATAGTCTACTTAACTTAAAAAGATTAGTAACCTTTCTTTATCCTTAAGAACATGTGTAACAATTTTCAAAGCGATCGAACGTTTCTAAACAAGTTACTGTGCACACGGACAGACGGACGGATACAAAAGAATCAAAAGCTAGGATTAATTTCAGAAAGGTGTATGTGTCATGTGCAATTGTGCATGACGTACGATCGCTTTAAAAACTGGTATACTTGTTCTTAAGGATATAACTGATATAAGAAATGTCCTTAAATTTTTATATATATAGTATTTTACTGTATTTGAATACTTTTCAAAGTAATCTAATGAAATAGTTTTCAAAGTACCTATTCCAATACTTTTTATAGTACTCGAATATACATTCTAAAGTATTTGAATACTTTTCAAAGTATCTGTATTTAGTATTTGATTGTGCTGGGCGTAAAAGTGTTTAGTATTCAAATACTTTTTGAAAGTATTCTGTCCAGCTCTGTGCATAACTTATACTGTGGATAAGCAAACACAAATCGTAACAAATTGATACTACAAATAACGAACAAATGTTCGTATTTTCTGCTTGTGATTACTGAATATCTGCTACAGATTTGTAAGCAAGTACACAGCAACCAATTATAAATGCTGAAGTTTATGTGATTTGTAATTGTTTATTCTTGGACCGCCTAAATGTAACATCATACAGCAAAACTACGGTAGGCGGCAAATTTCATAATATGTATAGTCCTGACATCTCACGCTATTTTCTTGAACATAGTTATGACATCTGCCGTGAAAATAGTAGATTGATTATGCTACTTGTTGCCAATAAATACAGGGCACTTCATTATTACCATAGTATTCGCACAGACGTCGCCACCTTATGACAGAAAACTGCAACTAACGCAGTAGTCATTTCCTGCACGTAGTGACTTCAAATAGAATTCTATTCAACAAACTAACGTTAGATGTCAGAACGATAAATTTTTTTAAAATTTCCGGGCCCACCGTAAAAAACAGACTGCATAATAATCGTTGAGTGAAGGATATTACTCAATGGTCGTATGTAAAAGTTATGGATGTTTTACTTTCAATAGCAGCATCTCACGAAATAATTCATGGGTGCCCCCCTTTAATTCTTAAAAAAATGCGCTAAAAAGTTATTGAGAAAAACCGGGAGAACGTCAAACATTTTTTGTTGTACAGGGTCCTTGAGGTAAAAAAGTTCAGAAAATGTAATAACCAATCCCTAAACAACACCCCAAAGTTTCATTAACGTCCGACCTTTTTCTATTAGGTATAGGTATAGGTATAATTAAAACCGCAGAACAATATTACGCTTAATGTTCATTATTATTAAGGGTGGACTTTTTTATACCACACCGTATACATCCGTATACAACTTTCAACAAGCTATCACTCCGTTTCTTGTGAACCACATTTTTACTAACAATTTTTTCCACTGAGAGCATCGTCTGAAAACGAAGGGTTTTGGGTTGAAAAATTGACACTTAATTTATAGGTAAAAAAACCTTTTTTGTGTAGTTAATAGAAAAGTGACGCATTGTTAAATCCAAAATCGTGAAGAAAAGTGAGACTTTTCTTGTTAGCAACACTTTTCTTCACGATTTCAGTTAGCAACACTTTTTTTCATTCATTTTGTTTATTGTTGTAAATAATAAATGAACAATTTGTTAACTTATTAAATATTACACCAGAAGATGAGGAAAGTGACTGCAACGCAGTCAGTGACAAATTAGAGTTAACCACTTCGCTTGTTGCTTCTGTTGTAGTCGACGTTTCAGAAATTGAAGAATGGCCTGATATTTCAGAGATTGAAGAATGGCCTTCGCTCGAACTACACAAAATTTTTTTTGAAATTTTTACTTTATTTTCAATGCTATCCTCGACATATGCTTCTGCAACAGCACTACTACGCCAGCCACCGTGTCTTTTCAAAACCAGGATGTCCGCTCCACTGTCGGCCAAAAAAGTCGCTGATGTTCTTTGAAAACAATGGCCTGTAAAGCTGTTCGGCTCCGGTAGACCTAAGTACGCAGCAATTTTCTTTGGCAAACTGTAGAAAGTGTTTATACCAACTGGTTGCTTTGTACACTTGCCCTGTTTATAAAATATAAATAGTCTGCGATGGTCCACATTTTTCGGTCTTAAATTTAAGTACTTCCTGTAAAGCTCAATTGCGTTCACTCCATCCTCCGATGTAACTGTGAAGACTCGTTTTTTCTTTGATTTTGTGTCGTGTAATGTTATCACCAAAATATTTCCGCAATCTTCTACATCATCCACTTTTAGTAACCGTAATTCTTCCGCCCGACAGGCTCCTTGCAGGGCAATTACCAACACGACCTTTATAAACAGAAACTTGTCATCAGGAGACTTTTCTAAAAACTCCTTTACGTTATCCAAAGATAGAACTCTCGATTTTTTTGTTATATTTCTCCAGTCACAGAACTGTAGGTAACATTTCTCGTACTTTACTTTGGACTTTTTAGGTAATAAACTTGACTCTGCTTCTAATACCAATTGTAAAATTTCTTCATTATTCCCGTTTGATTGACTCATTTTAAATGAGCGTTATTCACAAATTATTTACTTGTTCGTCTGTTTTATTACCATGTCAACAAATGCTCAACATACTTTGATATTATAATAAATTATTCTTCGACATCAAAACAAAACGTTACAATTAGAGTTATTTTTGTAAACTACACGAAAAAATAGCATGATCTACACGTAAGAAAAGTGAATTTCTATGCTCGTGCAAATTTGATCCACTCGTGAGCTGCGCTCACTCGTGAATTCAAACATTTACACTCACCAGAAAAGTAACACTTTTCTAAACTTGTAGATCAATGTAGGTACTATAGATGTAAACAAAAATTTCTTAATTGTTTATAATGTATTCCGATCTATTGATTCCGATTGTATTAACTAAAATATTTTTCACCCCTCAGAAAATGTGGCAACCACCCATACGATAGAAGAACCCCCGGTGCAGGTTCAACTTCGAAGAAAAGGGTAAGTAAGTAGATATTCAAATTTTTATGAAAATCGGTGCAATTTGCCAGATGGGAAAAAGTCGTTGATTGTGCTACGGGCCAATAAAAAATTGTATACAAAACTCGGTCGGGGATCGGCTCGACCGCGAGGTACTTTTTTAAAAAATAGCCACAAATCTATTCGCATTTATATTAAGAGCGTTGGGTTGAAACAGCGGTTCAATTTAAATTATAATTTTCAAAAATTTCTTCCTATAACACTGTATTAATAAGTTCCTAGTGTAAATGGCTACTCTGAATGACATCTTTGCTATAAATTTGTAACCAATGCGCTACTTGAATCCCGAAGAAAAGTTCGTCATCGGTTAGGGCCTCGTCGTTGTAAAAGTAAACCGGAAGATTAATAGAGCCCTGCTGACGTTTCAGTATGTCAATCTGAAAAAAGAGAATTATGTGCGCTTTCCTTGCAAAGAGCACAAACCTGGTACTGGTAGCGACTTGGTAGAGCGATTACCATACTGACAGCATTAAAGTTCGCCTTATACCTGAATAAATAAATAAATAAAATATTAGTGAATAACGGTAGCTTACGTCGACTTTGGGTAACGTTTCTCAATGAAATACTTGAGTGCTGTATCCATTCCATTATCACTAAACTGCATCATGCTACCAACTGCTATCGACCTGTCTTCAGGAGTAATCGCGTTTTTAAACGTAAAAATAATGTCCAAGAAGCTATAAGTAGGTGATAATTCATTGTGCGCTATCGGAATACCTACTTGATAATCATTGATGTTTTGTCAATACAACTCAAACCTCGTATCAATTGAGTTTTCAAGTTGGAATCTTTGGTAAGATAGTACCGCTGAAGCACAAAATTCCACTCATCTTCCGTTGCGATTTGTATTCCTCCACACAAAATAAATTGTTGCAAATCGGGCGATAAATGCAATACACCACTAGATCTCCACCTTCTCACATGCTGTATTCCAACTTGTTGGCAAGATTCGTCTTCAAATTTACACATCCACTCCGCTAAAAGTCTTCTTAGTAAACGATCAACATGGCCGTCGTGAGGACTTTCTTGAAGGCCGATTTTTTTATATGCTTTTCGTAGTAACCACTTGATGTAAGTCTACAATTAAAAGAGTTGGTATAGCTGTATGTATTCTAGGAAATACGATGAAGCCAAATAATATTTGTAGGGTGTTTTTCGAAACGGTTGATGGGAAGACCCACATACTTTTTCAAGAGCTTTAAAACTAAAAAAGCAATAAAGGCGAAACATTAACGTGTCTAGCATGGCTTCTGGTGTTCTTAAAGAATGGATATTTAACTTGTAAAGAAAGCGTTCGGGAGGCAGTCAAGCATACCCGTTTATAGGGAAAAGATTTAGAAATGTACAGTTGGAAGCATTTTGTATCGCGTGTAGTCAATCAGTTTTAACATCGAGGTCTAAGTGAAATATTATGCTTTCGTTCGTGTTATGTTATAAATTGTGCGTGTTAAATAATACTGCACTATTTTGAACTCATTTTTTTTTGCAAAATTACAAAAACGCTCATTTCACATCAAGCTCACTTTTTTCAAAACTAATCACTTTAAACGGCTCAAACTTTTAGAGTATATGACAAGTACATTAATAAATTTTACAGAAAACGAAAACGTTTTTTTCAAACACTCTAAAAAGGTTCTATGAGTTTTCCCCGAAAATGCATTGTTTCTTGGTTATTTAATAGCTCGAAAAGTAATCACTTTATAGAACAAAAGTGGCTTAAATCTAATCAATCTATTCATTCTCGGATTTATTTTCAACGAAACAGTTTTGGTCTCCGGGTGGCATTCATCCACAGAATAAAAATCACCCTCGTGCAAAATTAATTTTAAGGAAGAGGGTAAAATACGAAATGAGACGTGGATTTTCGCCACAAATAGTATCAAGGAAAAGCTGATGAAAGTGCCGACTTGCAAAACGAGAAAAAGGTACTAGTGCAACGTACATTTTATTACGTGCTTTATTTATTTACAATTAATTAACAATAAATGTATAACAATCTTGAAATGAATTGATTTATAGTAGCTGGAATAGTATTTATCACTCGCATATATCTACACAATTTATCACAGCGGCGTTGAAATTGGAACAGAACTGAAACGCAATTCGATTTGCTTATATAACAAACGCATCTCTTGTTCGAAGGTCCTCGAACGATTCCGAACGCTCCAGAGTATTCTAGAATGTTCTCGAACAAAATACGCCATATTTCCCGATAGATTGCATCATATCCGCCATCTCTCTTTATCGCCGATGACTAATCTTTCATGGCGTCTCGATGTCTATCGAAATTTCTGGAATATCCATTACACTATGTATTTCTTACTAGTGTACTGTTGGCTAGAACACCAGAGAATGAAACTGGATGATTATCTATCTATACTAATGCCTGGTATTTAATAGTAGCTATCATCTCCCTGATACTTCTCTTGACTGCAATCAAAGTGACTTTTTTGACAAAACGAATGTGCTCGTATAAGTGTTCAATTTATTAGGTCGCAAATTTCTCAATTCGCCTCTGGCGTCCTTAAATTAAATTTCATAATTCTCAAAAGTATATAAATTTAGCGCAAGAAGTACAGTCTTTAACAAAAGTAATGATCGCCGAATAGGGAAATTCTGCAGGATATCCAACATGTCCATGAACCTAGCAGAGCAAGGTCAGCAGAATACAATCAAACATATTGCATAATTAGGTGCTAATTAAGTGTCCTATTCCCGAATTAAATGCTCCTTTTTTTAAAAATTATTACATGTTCTGCCAGGTTCATAATTAAAAAAAAAGGAGCATTTAATTCGGGAATAGGACACTTAATTAGCACCTAATTATAGTTAGTTCACTGTTCATTTTCTTGGGTTTTTAAGGTAGTGCTCTGCTAAGTTCATATGAACTTGGCAGAACATGTAATAATGTTAAAAAAAAGGAGCATTTAATTCGGGGATAGGGCACTTAATTAGCACCAGTTGTTTTTGAGGTTTTTAAATGGCAACATGGCTCATATGATACGTCTATCCGTCTCTACAACGGTGTCGCTACTAGATTAAAAGCTCTTGTTCTACTTTTTTCGCTATTTGGTTCGTTATGGTGTTGCGGTCTCTACCAACCCAAACTGCTCCTCACCTTTATCTTCAAGCGCGGTTGCTTTAACTAATAGACTGAATGACCTTTGTGGTACGCCAATCACTAATATATTTATCGTATAGCTAGCAAAGATCAAAAGTATTCGATTTTAGGTGCCGCTGTCGTGAACTTGATGGCAGCCATTTTGCATATCGCGTTCGCATATTTTGGTAACAGAGAGCTATCGAAAAAAATCATGATTGGATAGCATAAATTCAATGAACGTAGAGAATTTTTTTTTAATGGCGGTTTCCGAGATATTGACATCAACTTCCTTATTTTAAATGGACGCCATATTGGATTTTTACGTCACTCAATAGAGAAAAAAATTACAAAACCAGTGATACTAAACATTTGGTATTTCATTTGGGAATCAACTTTACATTTTTTCCTCGAACTTTACAATGTATTTCTTATGGCAATAATTCCATGGCCATGTTGATGGTGACTATGCGAGACAATAAACGAACGAATTTGGATTCAATCATAATCGGCCATGGAATTATTTCCATAAGGAATACATTGTAAACTTCGACTGCTAGATCTTTATTTGTTTTAAGAAGATATTTTGCATAAAATTAAGCACCTTTCAGAAGAAATTTTGCTATTTAAAAATAGACATAGGGAATTCAGTTACCTTAAAAAGGTCATATTCCGGTTTAGATGCGAGATTTCTATCCAAATCCTCGATGTTCGTCAGAAAAGATTTAATTGGTATATAGTCAGTTTCTCTATACAAATACGTGGTGACGTTCAGGGCGACTTCAAAATCGAGTTTTGAACACTGAGCTAAGTAGATGGCATCGTCCAACAATTGGGCACGGTTTGTCGGCGGTATTATTTTTAAATCCTGCGTGCGTAGAAAATTGGTTACCCTTCTCCAATTTTCTGAGTCGTAATTTACTCTGTAGTACCCTAAACGAAACCGTTAGAAAATGGGGAAGCGAGTGATAGGTGGGTACCTATTACGTGCTTGTTTACTATAATCCAATCGTCATCGAATCTGTTGTTGATCGTGCCGGTAGCATTGACGAGCCACATGTCGGTGGTGGTATCGGAAAAGCTACGTGGACCACTTTTGTGCAGATAGTAAGTTATTGGTATATACCATAGATTTCCGTCGGTATCTCCATTTTTATAAAACGTTTGCTAAAAGTTGGTGTAAGTAGCTCAACGGTCGGGGTCCGTGAAGTTAGCAGAACATTGAAGGCACAAATGTCGAGACTAGGTGGGTTGGTTAGTGCTTCGTTTGTGCCGTAAAAAGTTTGCCAGCAAAACATACGGTTTGGAAATTATTTCGATTTTTAGAGGTTCTGCTAATAGGCCAGTCATTGAGGATTTTTACCTGGAAATAACTCGGGAAGTACAGAAATTTTGTATGCTTGAGTGCGTAGAACTAAAATTCATAAAATGCACAATTCTAAACTTGCCGCCGGGGTCGCCATCTTACCAAGATGGCCGTCAAAAGCGGTTTTCTGCCGATATCTCCAAAACTGCGCATTTTACGAGAAAATATGTGGTGATCAAAATTAAAGAAACGAAAATATCCTACAAAAAATGTAATTAGCATATTTTCACTAGTTAGCCCTTACGCAGAAATTCAGAAATTTTTAATAACCAGTGGCATATATTTTATCAAAATAATTCATTAATCATTTAATTAATTAATCAAATTGATTAATCAATTAGTATGGAACGCCGTTTTACTTTTTATTGCGAAAGTTTAGAATGTAACATTATAAACAACAGTTAATTTTATTTCCCGATTTATTGTTTGTTGTGTTTATGTGAAACATTAAATATGTTTGTTTAAAAAACTTCACTTAATTGAAATGATGTATGAATTATATAGCAATGTGTATAACGAAAGTTTAACAATACAAATCAAAAAACGAATACATAAACGAACAGTAATATAACTAACTAGAACTAATTCAACAAACATAAAAATTTATTCATATTAAATGTGGGATTAAAATTATGAACAAACATTTTAATTCAACAATCATATTAATTCGTGCTGTTGAAATCGGAAAGCATTATTTAAAATGATTGTTGAATTAAAATGTTACATGAATTAAAATGTTTGTTGATAATTTTAATTCGTATCTGTGATTGTGCGGAAGTTTCAGGACCTATCCTTTAGTGTATTTGGGTACGTGTATACTAGCGCCTAATTAAAATTATCAACAAACATTTTAATTCATGTAACATTTTAATTCAACAATCATATTAATTCAGCAATCATTTTAAAAGATTCTTTTACTACGTCTAACAATAAAAATTTATTTGTTTGTTGAATTAAAGTGATTGTTGAAAATATTCGGCTTCAATTTTCAAATCGTCGAATTTATATGACTGATGAATTAAAATGTTTGTTGATAATTTTAATTCCACATTTAAAATGAATGAATTTTATATTTGTTGGACAAAATCGTTTTATTAATCGAAGTATTTCTTGCAATTCAATTTAATTGTTTGTTATTAATTGTTTGTTGAAATACAGTTTCATATACACTCATTCAATATAACAATATAATTCATTTCCCATTTTTATTAAGTAACATTTTTTAAACAATCATATTTAATACGTAAGACAATAACAACAAACGTAAAAAGTAGAGGCATACGATTGACTGTTATTTAAAATGGCACATTGTGAAATTTTGGAATAAAATTGTACAAATATTTTCAGAGAACATTTTAATTCAACAATCATATGAATTCATGCTGTTAAAATCGGCAAGAATTATTTAAAGTGATTGTTGAATTAAAATGTTACATTAATTAAAATGATTGTTGATAATTTTAATTCGTATCTCTGATTGTGCGGAAGTTTCGGGAACTACAGTTTAGTCTATTTGACTACGTGTATACTAGCGCCTAATTAAAATTATCAACAAACATTTTAATTCATGTATCATCTTAATTAATCAACATTTTTTTAATCAATCTCTTAATACGTAAGATAAAAACAACAAACGAAAAATTTAGAGACATAAGATTGACTGTTATTTAAAATGATACATGATAAAATGTTGGTATAAATACTAAAACGGCGTTCCATAAATTAGTCCATGATCAATTAATTTTAAGATTTTATTTTAGTCGTCGCAATCTTCTATGGTGATAGAGATGTCAATTTTTAAATTTTATTAGTTAAATCAATCAGTTATAAATTGTTATATTCAATTCCTTTTAGCCAGCATTATGGACTTTATTTGTTTGGTATGTGATTATTTATGTTAATTTTACGTTAAGAGCGCCACGTGACCTTGCACGTGACTAATTGATATGCAGCTCTAACCACATCGTCACGCTCCTACGCAAGAAAACCATGCATCACTGTTTTTCTTTCTATCCCTAATGACGACCACTTAGCACTTACTTTTGGTTACCTTCGTTAGGCGGCGCCACCTCACAGTCGCTTGAAAGGAAAATTTCTTTTTTCCATTAATAATAATAAAATACTGCCTTGAAGTTATTGTTTTATGGACTAAAATCTTTAAAATAAATTACTATAGCATGGAATGGTAAGAATAAACGCTTTCCATGATAGACTAGGAATTAGAAGTGACAGTAAAAAAATTTCAGATAATGATCCACCGTCAAAAAAACCTTACGGTTTGGATTCCAGTTTAAAGCTTTTAAATGAGTATTTGAAGTTGTTCTTTAATCAATTTCAATATCAATATCAAAAAATCAAAGGTTAACTTTTCCGCACCGTAGCATCTGTTGAGACCCAGCACTTTTTATTGAGCGAAGTATCTAATCGATTTGGCAAATAACTACATGGATGTTCAATTTGATTTACCGTTAAAATTTCACAAAAATTAGTCAACAAATAAGAAATTTACTTTTGCACATGCGCGAAAGAAGCTTTTGATATGTTTGAAATAATCGATCGATTTGCCTTTAGTAAAGGATGCTAATGTTAAAATTTCAGTAAGATCGGTCCATAAGTAACAAAGTTACTTTTGCGCATGTGCAGAAGATTACGGCCTACCAGTTTGGAAATTAATGGGTGCCTTCTCCACACGGCAAGGTTTGAAAAAATGTACGCAATTTGTCCCATTCAATTTTGAGTTATCGTGCTAATTATAATTACAACTCGGACAACGACAACGGACTTTTTTTCTGTGATGAAAACAATACTTAACTTACCCATATATGGGTGCGGAAAAGTAATATCATAGATGATATATGCGATTTATATACACTTTATATACTACTTTAAACCACAGTAGGCGATGTGAAACAAAAGCTGATCTAGAAACTAAACGAAACAGAGCCTATTTTGGGAACCTCAAAACATTTACGAAAAAAATCTTCGGACCCGTCAATTTTGATTCAAGGGGAAACCATTTTTTTGCTAGTTTCGCCCCCCTAAGGGCAAAGCCCAAACGGGAGTGACAAGTGCTCCCAAAAGTTTAAATCGAAAGGGGGGGTCGCGTTACAAAAGATGAGACTGATCGCAAATTTAAAAGGTATTTTCCCATATCGTGAAGCAGTAGGAAATCTGCTCTAGCTCAGTTCAAAAACACGTCCGGACATCAGTTTTGCTGTTGGAAGGAATCTCGATACCTGGAAAATCCATCAGACTCGGATGTTAAAAAACGTAAAACGTACAATAAAATATTTGAAAGGAACCAAACATTTAGGTTTGTTCTTCAAAAAGAATGGAAATTTGAATGAGATGGTAGTGTACACGGATAGCGATTATGCTAATGATCTAGAAAGTAGACGTAGTACTACTGGATATGTATTCCTGTTTCCTTAATGGAACACCAATAAGCTGGTGTTCAAGACGGCAACCCATCGTAGCACTCGCATCTACGGAAGCTGAATTCATAAGTGCAGCTGAAGCTCTGAAGGAAGTTTTATTTTTGAAAGCCTTGATTGAAGAGTTGATAGGCGAAAATTTAAAAATTTAAATTTCAAATTGATAACACGAGCACAATAAATAATAAATAAATAAAAAATGGGAAGTTTAATCAGCCCAGCAAACACATTGATGTGCGGTATTATTTCATTTGTGAAAAATTAAGTGAAGGTGTATTTGATTTGATACATTGTCCCACCGAATATCAAATAGCCGACATACTTACTAAGCCATTATTGCCAATTAAATTTAAACAGTTTAGGGATATGTTAATGAACTGAAAGTGATGAACATTGTTGTGCAAAGTTTGAGGGAAGGTGTTGAAAAGTGTTCTGTACAAACTTTGTATTTAAAGTATCAAGGAGTGAATGTTTGATAAATAATTGAAGTAGTTGTATTCTATAAACAAATTAAAAAAAGCTTGTCAATTTTATTCAATATCTTTGATTTTGAGCATGGATGTATCAAGATAAGATCCAGGGTACAATTTTCACAAAACATCTACAGACATCTAAAAATCGAAATAACTTCTTGCAGGAAAATATTTTCCTGGCGATACAGCACAAACCGGCACAAACGTAATTTGTGGAATATGTATCGATATTCCTTTATCGACTGAAGAAGGAGAATCCGACGAATTCAAAGAAGCCAACGTTGATCCCGAAATGACAGTGAGATTAACGAACCGCCAGGTCCGTCAGGCCTGCGTAAATAGAGAATCTAATGTTACTTAAAATTAATTGATCATAGACTAATGATTAATCAATTTGATTAATTAATTAAATGATTAATGAATTATTGTGATAAAATACACGCCATTGGTTATTAAAAATTTCTGCTTTTCTGCGCAAGGGCTAACTTTAGTGGAAATATGCTAACTACATTCTTTGTAGGAAATTTTTGTCTCTTTAATTTTGCTCACCACATATTTTCCCGTAAAATGCACAGTTTTGGAGATATCGGCGGAAAACCGCTTTTGACGGCCATCTTGGTAAGATGGCGGCCCCGGTGGACAGTTTAGAATTGTGCATTTTATGAATTTTAGTTCTACGCACTCAAGCATATATATAATTTATGTACCTCCCGAGTTATTTCCAGGTAAAAATCCTCAATGACTGGCCTATTAGCAGAACCTCTAAAAATCGAAATAATTTCCAAACCGTATGTTTTTCTGGCAAACTTTTTACGGCACAAATCGGCACAAATGAAGCACTAACCAATCCACCCAGTCCCGAGATTTGTGCCTTCAATGTTCTGCTAACTTCACGGACCCCAACGATCGGGTTAATTCATACCTGAGTAAACGCTATGGTGCCGCTATGATAATTTCGGGTAACCGTAACTAGTGGATGTCCAACGTTGGTATACCACGAGTTTAAAATCTGGTTGACTGTATATCCTCCCAGTAGATGACTTTTACGTGCCCTATTAATAGCCCGTTGATACTCGCGGAATAGATCACTTGGTACGGTTGCCCCAAATTTGCTAAAACAACAATTTGTAGTTCTGATCATGAATCTCACGCGCGATTACTGATTGTTCAAGTAAGATCTCAGACTTTGCACGAAAATTCGATTCGTCAAAAAGTGTTCCGTCATTCGTATTACTGCGGAAGCTAAAATAGAAATTTTATGCGTGTTGCATTTTGAGGGGTAGTACCTTTGTAATAGTATATTTGAGAGGACGGGAACATTTCGGGTGACGTAAAGACGAAATTGATCGGTTCGGTTAGTGGAGCGGTATCGGACCGCAGACTGGACTGGTACTCCTCTACTACGTACTGCTCATCGAGTCTCCATGTCGGTTCAGCCTAGCGTTCTAGTCAAAATGTACTCCACTAACAGAGCGAGAAACTTACCAAAGCAGTTACAAAATACTGAAAGTAAGCGGCAAATCCCTCACTCAGCCACATATAATGCCACGATTTGGGACTGACCAGATTTCCAAACCACTGGTGAGCGAATTCGTGCGCGCTAAATGTGGCGCATTTCTGTATGTCCATAGTGTGTGAACGATCCGTGCAGACTAGGTATTTTTCACTAAACCAAAGCAAACTAGACCTTGCACACCCTATACTTACTTACTTGTAGATGACCAGTCCCCAATTTTCCATTGCGCCGTCTAAGAAATATTCTTCCGGAACGCCTAACATGTCCAGTTTCTTTAACACATACGGTATTCCCGTGTATGCCTCAATTACTTTGAGCAACTTAACCGATTCGTCTAGCATGTAGATCATGCTGCCTTCGGCAATGGCGTCAGGTCTCATTATCATTCGTATCCCGGGGTGTTTTTGATAGTACCTAAACTCTGAAACGACAAACGCCAGAAGGTAAGTGGACATCGGCACGGTTTCCTTGTACGTGTCCCTATACAGCCCGTGACCCAAGTATCTGAAACAACTGTGCACGGATATCGACATTTACAAGAGAGCTTTACGTGGTATAGTGTAATTCTTCATTAGACGCAGACATGAGTGTTGATTCTCTGATGATGTTGAGAATGAAAGTGGCTTTCAGTGCGGGTTCGTCAAAGCATGGAAAAGTGCGACGAGCATCTGACGGTTCAAATTCTGTTACAACCATATACCTAGAATTCAATGATTGCAGGGAGACCTCTTACACCTATCACCCTACTTTGTTTCGTTTTGGGCATTAATGTACTTTGCGTAAAACAGCCCCTCCATATCATTGTGCAAGGTACCGGTGTATTTCCCGAATGTTAACATGTACCGTTTCCCCTTTTCTAGCTCCTCGTTCAAGTAAATTATGTAGAACTCCCTTTCGGTGTCTTCAGAGGTTCCGACTATTCCAACTCGTTTTCTTCGCTTCATATCGGTAATCGTGAGTAGAGCTGTGTAAATAGTTAGCGATTTCACGTGTATCGTAACGTTTCTGGTATTCTCCAAAATTTCGATGTCTATATTAACATTGCCGTAAAATAATCCCGCTTCCGTATTATACGTATCGGGGGCCACCGTTAAGTTATACCGTATCGGCTTGATAGTTTTTGGAAGAAAATAACTGTCCATTTGGCACAGGGCGCCATTTGCATATAACACTAGTAACAAACACAGCACTAACGTAGCCATTCAGTGGAGACCGCCGAAATGTTTAGCTCTTAATGATTACTAATCGAGGAGGCGGGCACGTGTTTAGGAAAATTTCACCACACTACTGAAGCGAGAGTGTCCAAAAAAAATCCACAGCCTTGATTGGTTATAAAAACATTTTACTAGGTTATCGGGTTTTCTACTGATTGACCAGAAGTTGACCTTTAATATCGTAGTGTACATGTATTAGAATCATTATGTAATAATTATCTATTCAACAGTACAGTGACGTTTTTTATTTACAGAACGTACGAAGCTACTTCCCACATTAAACTAATTATCAATAAACAAACAGGAATTATCATCGAAAACTTGCGCCGATGCACATTAATTTTTATCGCTTACTAAATTATTCCGCGTTCAGTTTTAAATTGTTGCGTATTAACACCTACCACGCACCAGTGGCGTAATTGAGTACTTTTCGAAGCGGTGGTTTTGGCGCCCTACCAGATTTTGGCACCACATGAAGATAGCCAGTACACGATAGCCGGTACGCGCCAGTACATCAGTACTCTGTAGTACTGTTTGAGTACTATCTTAAAACAACAGCAAAAATGTACTACCTATGAAGAACGCCGATATTTTTATGTACTGGCTGGCGGAATTTGGAAGCTAGCCAGTACACTGGATATCGATAACCCGCACATTAATATACAACGGTACTATTTAGTACTTCTTGGGTACTGAATACATACACAATCAGTTTCTTGGTACCTTTAAGAGTTGTCTTGTACTGGTTACTGTCCAAATTCCGCTAGCCAGTACTCCATAAATTGATAACCAGGATATAAACAAACAGCAGTACCATTTAGTACTGCTTAAGGATTGATTAAATGTAAAATCAGTTTTCTGATACCATTAGGATTACACTAGTACTGGCTACCTTCCAAATCTCGATAGCCAGTACAGTGGATATTGATGTACGGGACATAAATAAGCGATAGTACGATTTCGTACTTCCTATGTAGCAAATATATATCCAATCAACTGAGTGGTACTTTTAAGGATTACCTTGTACTGGCCACCGTCCATATGCCGATAGCCAGTACACGGGAAATTAATAACCAGGGCATAAGCAAACAGCAGGACCATTTAGTACTGCTGATGACTGATTCAACCTGCGGTTCATTTCTTAGATACCTAAGATTACACTAGTACTGTCTACTGTCTAAATCCCGCTAGCCAGTACATGGAATATTGATGTACCTACGGTACATAAATAAGCATACGAGTTTGTACTTTCTAGGTAGTAAATGTAAATAGAATTAGTTGTGTGATAGCTTTAATACAATGCGATCAAAAATGATTGGCCGTCCTCAAACGGTACTACAGAGTACTGATGTACTGGTGCGTACTGGCTATCGTGTACTGGCTCCCTTCACGCACGTCACATCATTTACCATTAAGCTCTAATCATTAAAACACTGTACTGTACTGTACAGCGATAATTGCATTTGTTTATTATACCTGACCTCCTAGATGTTAGTGTCAGAGCCCTAGATTTTTACGTTGTCTTGTAGTATTTTAAGTTAAAATTTTAGAGATCGTCATCTGTCGATTCTTTATTTTTAGGTTTATTCCTTAATGAATATTTTTGGAAATAAACTCTTATTCATTTGCACTCCACACAAACATTTTACAATAAATGCGTTATGGAAGAAACAATCTCCCTCCGCAATTAGAAAGCATACAGCATAGTCAAATGACATTTTGCCGATCTACCTACGAGCGACTGCATAAATGGGAGTACTCGGCACCGGACCAGTATTAGGGTCAAAATGTCCTGTAGTCTGTCACCCGCAATAACCATTCCAAAATCCACCTAAACCAGTAGAACTTTCTTTGAAACGTTTCAATTCATCTTCCAAAGTGATAAAATTAACATATGGGTCAATTATAAGAGGAGGAATTAATTAATCATTTCAGCTAAGTTAATAGAATTTACTAGCAGCTTACGTAATTAGCAAACTTAATTGCAATTACAAATAATTGACGTCCAAACGTATAGTTTCACAAAGTCAAAATTTAAATTAATCATTTCGACAACGTTAAATGTAATTAAGTCGGTCTTCGGACCACGCCTCCAACCTCGGCATTTGTACCCCCATTAATTAGATCAATAAGTTTTGTGACTGTGTGTTTATAAACAAAAGCGATATTAAATTACGTATTCAATTCAATTATTCAATATAAATTTTACCTTATTTCTAAGATTACATTTCACATTCCACGTGCTTTTTTACTAACAACGTTGCACCTTTGTCAACGGGTATGCTTGACTAACTACTGAGCGCTTTCTTTATCAGTTAAATATCCATTTCCTTCATTGATGCTGATGAATATGTTACGGTTGTGTGCAAAATAGTAGTAAAACCATTTTGAGGTGTTCTATTAACAATAACTTGACTTCGCTCTGTTAAGTTACTTTAATACTGAAATATATTATTGATTTTTGTTTGTAATTGTGGGTATGTAGCTCAATAAAACATTACTATTATTATTAAAAAGAAATTAGAAAAATCTGACACTGACTCTACCTTGTTCTCAAATTGGGATTAAAATTGACACATAATTGATCAATAAAAAGAAATTTAATTTGGAAAAGATTTTAGATGGAATAGTGTGTGAAGGGTAATTGGTCAATTTAACATGTTTCTTGTCTAATTTACTAATATGTGTTGAGGATAATTTGTTAAAATGATTGATACGTAAATTCGGATCAAGTAACTAAAAGTAATTTTTCTAATGTCAGATATAATAAAAGTCATTGTTCATATAATTTTCAATAAATTTATAATTTAATAACGATAATAACTGTGTAATAAGTGCTAATCATTTCCTGAATCCTGCAATACTCCAAGAGGCTATGGGCCCAGACCAGGAAGTTGTGGAAATAAATTAGTTACATCATAATAACTGGACGAACATACGTGGGAAACATTTTTTTTAATTTGAAGAAAAAAATTGACATCGTATGGACCAGCAAAAATTGACACCACTGACACACGAAAATTATCGTTCATGGTGTCGTCAAATGAAGGCAATTTTAAATCTGAATGACTTATGGGAATTCACATCAGGAGAAAATGTGAAACCAGAATTACAAATCGAAGAAAATGGAAATTCAACAGCAGCATCAACAATTACAAGAAAAGTCTGGTTGAAAAAGGATGAGCATGCACAATCCTTGATGACTCTTGCAATGACCGGTGAGCAAATTGAATTAACCAATGATTGTCAGACATCAAAAGAAATGTGGGACAAATTTCAGAAAATTCATGTGACGCAAGGACCACTTAGAAAATCAATGATGATCAGAAAATTAGCGGTAACGAGACTAGAAGACGGACAGGATGTTAGGAAACATTTAAATGAGATGTTTACAACGTGGCAGAAACTCAAAGAACTGTCACTGGAAATTAGTAAGGAATTATTTTCTTATCTCGTTTACTAAGCCTTCCGCCAAGTTTGGAGGTATTTTGCACCACAATGGAGTCTCAAGACACATTACCGGACCCCGAAGAACTGAGAATCAAAATCATTGAATGTCGAGATTCAAGGAAGCACCATGTAGAAACAGGAATACAAAATGCCATGGTCGCAAAGAAGAATTTCGATAAAAAGTCATCGGAGGAAATTGAAAAGGAAAAGAAATTTCCGTATAAATGCAACCGCTGTAGAAAGAAAGGACACATGGCAAAATTTTGTAACCGAAAAGAAAAGCCAGACAATTCCGCTAAAGCAAACAACGTGGAAGCTACAACAATGTACTCTGAAGTTGTACCAGAAGCTTTTGGAGGATTACTCAATTATGGGAAAAACAATTGGTGTGTTGATAGCGGATGTACGTCACATTTATGCAAAGATGAGGAAAGTTTCACAAAACTGCAGAATACGAATGGAGGGAAACTAGAACTCGCTAGTAATTCATCGACAGAGATCAAAGGAAAAGGAACAGTGGAAATTAAGTCGAATTTTAACGGAAAAGTCAAGGAAATAAAAATTCAAGATACGTTCTACGTTCCAGATTTGAGAATGAATCTCCTATCTGTGGGAAAAATAACAGACAAGGGGATGATAGTCACTTTCAATGCTAAAACCGCAGATATCGCCGACAAGAAAACTGGGAAGTTGATTCTCCAAGCAAGGAGAATAAACGAATTGTACATAATTCAAGAAGAAACGAATGAATGCAATTCTGTACCAGAAGTGACGACGAAAGAATCGAGACTAAATAAAATCGAAATATGGCACCGGAGATTGGGTCACGTAAACTTTAAAGATCTTCAAGAAGGTTCAAGAAAGGGTACTATTAGAGGTATTAACATCGATGCAGCCAGGGATGGTCTCGAATGCGAAATCTGTATTCAAGGAAAAATGACAAGAACTCCATTTCCAATACGAGAAAAGAAATCAGAAGAATTACTAGAAATAATTCATTCCGATGTCTGGGGACCAGCCAGAGTAGAATCAAATGGAAAAGCAAAATATTTTGTAATATTCATCGACGAGTATTCTGGATGGTGTGTGGTAAACTTTTAAAGAATAAAAGTGACGTTTTCAACGCATTTAAACATTACAAAGTACTGGTTGAAAATCAGACAGGAAAGAAAATTAAATATTTACAATCCGATAATGGAAAAGAATACGTAAATAAAGTCTTTGATGAATATCTGAGAACAAATGGAATTAATAGACGATTAACCGTCACACTCACACCACAACAAAATGGGATCGCCGAAAGAAGAAATCGTACACTGGTAGAAATGGCGCGATGTATGTTGATACAATCTAGATTACCTCAATCGTTCTGGGGCGAAGCAATCAACACAGCCAGCTACTCTAGAAATCGATGTCCATTGAGAAGTTTGGGAGGAAAAACATCACACGAACTTTGGACTGGAAAAATACCGAACGTTAATTATTTTCGGGAATTTGGATGCACAGTATATACTCGAAACAGGGAACAAAATTCAGGAAAATTCGAAGCTCGATCTAAAGCGGGAATATTTGTCGGATATGCAGAAATATCCAAGGCGTACAGAGTGTGGATCCCAGAAGAGAGAAAAATTGACATCACACGAGATATCAAATTTATTAACGAATTCGAAAAGAAACAAATTGTAAATTCGAAATTAAGAAAAGTAGACAAATAATGGAAATACCGATGAAATCACATGCAGTAGAAGTTCCAGATGTCGAAATTAATGAAGAAGAGAATTGGTTCGATGCGGAAGAAACTGATGAAGAATACAACCGAATTCCTAAAAATCTAATGATGCAGCAAGATGGAGACGTCAACAACGAGAATCCAAGAAATCAAGAAATAGCACATAGAGAAGGAAATGTTGGTAAAAACGACGAAAATTTCAGAAGAGAGAGAAATTTCAATCATCAGCAACCGAATTATCGAGCAGAAGACGATGTGCCAGACGATGAAATAGATGGACCTGAACCAGAGATAATAATGAAACGAGGCAGGGGAAGACCTCATCTTATACATACTGGACTCAGGGGAAGGCCTCAAAAGCAATACAATATGATAAGAGTCGTTGAAGAACCTAATGAATTTGCAAACATGGCAGAAATACCAGTTCAAACAGCACTCAACGGAAAAGATTCGAACGAATGGATTGAAGCAATGGCATCGGAACTAAAATCCAGTATCAAAAATGACACATGGGTTCTTGTAGATCGACCGAAAAACAAACGAATTATTGGAAGTCGTGTCATCTTAAGAAACAAGTACCAGGCTGACGGAACACTTGATAAGAGGAAGGCAAGAATCATCGCCAGAGGTTTTGGCCAACGTCCCGGCATAGATTACGACGAGACGTATGCACCAGTAGCAATACGATTGATTACGCCTCTAGCGGCTCAACATCAGATGGAAATGAAACAATATGATGTTGCATCTGCATATCTAAATGGAGTATTAAAAGAAGAAACATATATGGAAACCCCGGAACACTTGGCGGACATGTTGCGAAAAATTATCACAACAGAGCCAAGTAACAACACAATCAGCAAGAAGACCAAAGAAATGCTACAATCTTTCTTGGAAGGAAACAAAGTGCAGAATGCTAAAGGCACTTTATGGGTTTCATCAATCTGGAAGATCATGGTTTGAGAGATTTCAAAAAGATATGAAGAAATTCGGTCTCATACCATCAAATTATGATCCGTGTGTGTTCTATTTGGGACGAGGGGAAGAAATATTCCTATTGGCGGTATACGTTGATGATATTGTAATTATCTCAAAGGACAAGAGACGGATAAAGGAATTTGAAATTTATTTATCAAATTTATTTGAAATCAAGAATCTCGGGAACGTAAACTATTGCTTAGGAATAGAATTCTCAAGAACTGACGATGGAATTATAATGTGCCAGAAAGGATATCTGAAGGATATCCTCGAAAGGTTCAAAATTGAAGATTGTAAACCAGTCAGTAGACCGATTGAATTGGGAACCAGATTACAAAAACCTACAAGCAAGGAAGAACTAGAAGGTTCAGAACATCTCCCATACAGAGAACTCGTGGGATCATTAATGTATTTAGCAGTTTCTACGAGACCTGATATAGCTCACGCAGTCAGTTATCTTAGTCAGTACAACTCCTGTTACACCAAGACACATTGGATAGCTGCAAAACGAGTACTCCGGTATCTAAAGGGTACGTCAAACATTGGTCTAAAATATCAGAAGACAGCAGATTCGTTAAAAGGTTACGTGGATGCGGACTACGCAAATTGTGTCGACAGTAGAAGATCGTATACTGGATACACATTCATTTTAGGAGGAAGTTCAATTTCATGGGAATCGAGAAAACAGAGCACCCCAGCTTTATCGTCTACTGAAGCATGGCGTTAACCGAAGCTGCAAAGGAATCTGTTTACTTACATTACATCGATTTCTTACAGAACTCGGATTTGAGCAAATATTGTTCTGTGACAACAATGGAGCAATAAAGTTGTCGAAAAACCCAGTTTTTCACAGCAGAACTAAACATATTGATGTGAAACATCACTTGATAAGAGAGATTATTCAAAGTAAGGAGGGTCCAAAAATCGAATACATACTTATCTACGAAGGAAATGGGCTGCAGATATAATGACAAAGGGATTACCGAAGCCAAAGCATCAAAAATGTTTAGAAATATTAGGTATTTCTCAATGTGAAATAGTCGATAAAGAATAATTCACATATCACGGGGAAGTGTTGAAGATAATTTGTTAAAATGATTGATACGTGAATTCGGATAAAGTAACTAAAAGTAATTTTTCTAATGTCAGATATAATAAAAGTCATTGTTCGTATAGTTTTCAATAAACTTATAATTTAACATCGATAATAACTGTGTAATAAGTGCTAATCATTTCCTGAATCCTGCAATAATCCAAGAATATGTGATAATATAAAGTCATACTGGTTTAAGTTGGTTTTAAAATGTTTACTGCCGCTGACAGTAAGGTCAAATAGTGCCTTAAATTTAGGTTCTGTAAGAAGCAGACCTAAGCGAAACTATACTTATAATAAACACATTATTATTATTATTGCTCTCTAACGTTAATTCTGTAAACCTCAGGCCATTTCAACCCCTAATACCACCGTTCCGTGGCAAATCGGTGCCATTTATGTACTCGTTCGTAACTAGATCGAAAATTAAGGGCCTCAGAGAACGAAATAGAAGTGGGCCACATTCGGCCTCAAACTCACCGCCTTCCTGCCTGGTAATCTATGTTTGGTGCCCGGGAAACATAAAATGGCATACAAAGCCAATAAAACCTGGCTCCTTTTGGATAGAGAATTTTTTTCTGATTTCAAAACTGTCCACGTCACTAATTTTTCAATATTGTTAAACTATCTTCTTTTTTACCTGGCAAACTTTGTTTTGAGTAGTGTATGTTCGTAGTTTCTTGCGTTTTTCCGAATTAATAGCGCCATTTCTTATTAAAAAATAGTGATATTTAGATTTTTGAAAAATGCTATATCAAATGGCACAAACAGTAAAAATGACTTCCATAAAAAAACAATGTTGATGATGGTTAATCGGAGACGAAACGTCAGACCTAAAATTTAAATCTAGCATCTTGTAGAGGGAAAAAAGTGGGTATAATAATGTGTTATTTATTTGGAAATACTTTTTAAATAAATACAATAAAAAATAAAAACGATTTGGCAAAATTTCGTTTTTTTCTGGATATCTCCGAAAGTAGTCGGAATTTTTTCAATTTCAAAACGGCATTGTTAAGCATCAAAATACGCAACTTTGCCAAATTTAAACTACCTACTAGGGAATGCAATCCCGCAGCAAAATCTCAATCCCGGTATTTGCGGGATTGTTAGATGTTAAAGTTTTGCGGGATCCCGGTATTTGCGGGATCCCGCAAAACTTTAAATACCTAAATTGGTAAATAAGCAGTTTTGTGCGTTTAACTTCTATATTAAAATAAATCGCTAATTATCGCAATATTTAACAAAAAAGTACCTTGAGCCTAACTTTTAGAGCTCAAAAAAACCTCACCTGTAAAGCACAAAAAGGTGAGCTTCTAAAGTGCCCCAAAAATCATAGTACAATTTTAACGAAAAAAGTTTAACAATTATTTAAAAAATAACTTCTCCTTTATGCGTTTCATTAACAAAGTAAACAGAGTCGTCCCTTTGATCGACAAATTCCTTAGTCCCGCAAATCCTGCGGGATCCCGCTCCATTTATGTGCGGGATTAATCCCGCAAAAATGCTGCGGGATCCCGGTGTTTCGGGATCCCGCGATCCCGGTATTGCATTCCCTACTACCTACCTATCTTTTACAATTTCCGAGATCCCCATGGTGACTCTCGCATTTGAATCAGCCTGGGTGGTCATGAATTATCAATTCAAAGATCTGCTAAGAATCTCGGTGTCATAGATAGTGAATTGCGATTCATTCAGCAAAAAAACCGTATAAGCATTTCCTGCATACTAACGTAATTGACTTAGGTTACGGACGTAATATCTGTGATATAAATAGCATGTAAAAAAACATTATCTGTTAACAATCTTCGAACTGTTGGTAACGTACCGGGGTTGAAATATAAGATAATCCCCGACCGAATTTTATCTCTTATAAGATTTGCTTGGGTTAGCATTAGGATTCCAATGACGTAGCGTATACATAGGGTTGCTATTTAAAAATCTATTTATGGAGACAAATGGTAAGGGTATTGATGCTATTTTTCTTCAAACTTCCCTCAAGAGGTTCATGATCTTTCGTGCATTCGCTTTTTTGTTTCTGTTGGAACTGATTTCAAATAAAAATCATCAGCTGTTAGAAGTTTATTTATTTTAGGGATGAATTTTAATAACACACAACTGACCTTGTACTCTTCAACTTACATACATTGTGATACTTGATATTACGAAAATAAAATAAAAGCACTATATTCATAAAAAAGTGATCCTGACACGAATTTTCAAATCCAATACTTGTTTATACCTACAAAAACCCAGCCTACCAAAAGTACCTTTAACGTCACACTAAATTCGTTCACACAACTTCCACTCTTTCGACTGGCAAGATAACCAGAAAACCAATTTTTGATACTTTTACCAAATCGCTCGTTAAATTCTACGTTCCCCTTGACAATTTGCAGCGGCTCCTCAAATGCGGTACTAGTCCACCTTGGAAATCTGTTTTTTAATCTCTCCATCTTAAAGAAGTATTTAGTAAAGCGTTTTGGAGGTTTTGTTCGTACCTGTTCAAGATGTTGATTTGTCGAGAGCTTTTTCGCGAGAGTTTTTAAAATTTCTGGAAGGGCATCTGGAAACGTGTCTATAACGTTATCAAAATTTGCAGTTACGAAATCAAAAATGAAAGTTACGTCCAAAGAGCTTTGGACTAGCGATTTAAATGCGTCAACTTTGTCCTTCGAGTCAATATCTCGGAACTTCAGTATTTCTTGCAAAAACCTAGTCGATACCTTAGCATACAAAGGTGTGATTACCAAAAACGTACCCTTTAACAGTGCTATTGCTGTTCGCGCAACCAAGCGCGTTTAAGTATAGCTTTTTACGCCTATCGTCTGTGCTCGTTTTGTATTTCGCGAACAGCGAATCCCACTCCGATTGACTGCCAAAGCGTATTCCCCCGCATAAAGTAGCCGGTTCCACGTTGGGAGGAATCCTGTGCTTTTCAGGATTTCGATTCCAAAGTTGGAACTTTTTAAAGACGTAGCTCTCGCACTTTTCATTTCCAATAATGCACATGGCATTTAAAATCTGTACCCGATTTAATTTTTCTGATAAGGTATCGTTCACATTTTCTTCATCTGACAAACAACTGATTGCTTCTCCATTAAGCATATCTCCCAAGTACGTCTGGTAAAAAACTGAGGGAGTTAGGTGTACGTTAATAGTCAAATTACCCTAAGCTGCTCATGACCATTTTCTGGTGATAGTTTGTTGTACAGCGCCATTACGTTATTTAAAAATGAAGCAATTGGTGCAAATGCGTGTTCTCTACTAATATATGTGCTTAAGTTAAAAGCTACGTCGAAGCTTAATTGGCCCGCTTGAGCTAGACTGAAGACGTCATCCACTAATTGGGCTCTGTTCAGTGTGTCAATCTCACTAATATTGTGTTCGCGCAAGCACCCAGTGATTCTCCTCCAGTTTTCCGAGTCATAATTTACTCTGTACAAACCTGAAAAGCGCATTCACTGGAGGGTATGCGATCGTAGCCTCTTACCAGTCTGTTGTTTATTAAACACGATCCAGCCATTGGAGGGAACACCATCTATCGTCATATTCCTTTGAGACATCCAAACATCGGTCTTGGTCGTACAAAACTGTTTATCACTGTACGTCTCCGCAGTGTAACTTAACGGAATGTACCAGAGATTATCGACTACTGATGATCCATTCAAATTTGATGAGAATCTAGCCTGCAAACTGTCAGTTAACCCAAACATCAGGTGGATTGGAGACGCTATTTACTTGTGTCACGGTTAAGCTGCTACTTGAATAATTCCTGGTCACATTAACAATAGGATAACCTGCCTGCGTTTCCCAACTTGCCATTATGGTGTTGACTGAGTGATCACCAATTAGATCGTGACAATTTTCTATGTCGATAATCCGTTGGACAGCGTTATACAGATCAAGTGGGCTTACGGCTTCGAATGCGCTGAAATACCATGCGATCAAAAATGAGTTGCTGTCGAGTCGCCTTTGGAATTTTTGTTTACATGGCAAATCGTACTTAACTTGAACTTCCAAAGGCGACTCGACAGCAACTCATTTTTGATCGCCCGTTAGTAAAATGCACAAAAAAGTCAAATTAACGGATACGCCCCCCCTCCCCCTACAAACATTCTAACCTAGGGATCTTCCGGTACCGCAAGTACCAGGCGGCTCCAATTTTGATACTATATAGTCTAATCCTTTCTCTGTCCAACAAAAGAAATCGCTAGATGATATCTCAACAAATAAGGGAATTGCGAGTTTTTTTTGAGGTCATGTCGAATTATTGTCCATTTTTTCGCCGTTAAGGGCCCAAAAAACCCCGCTTGGTAAAGAAACAAGTTTTTGCCAGTTTCGGAAAGTTTTCGAAAATTTCCATTTTTCCAATATACGTTAATGAGGTGACATTTTTTCAGAATTGCAGGAAAATCACATCCCACCTACCTACTATGAACCGGGTGCGTAGAATTAAAAAATGGTCACAACAGATTCGTCCAGAGGTTCTTCCTTAGGGCTCTTCGGACTCAAAATAGTAAAAAAATATTTCTCAGCAATTGGATTTGTACCGGGTGAGTCAACGATTGCGCGGAGTAACTTAATGCCTTGAAGATAAGATTTTTCGATAGAGTGCTTTTGTATTATGATATGGTTGAATATTCTCCACATTTTAAAAATATTTGGAATTATACAGGGTGCGCTCACAAAGTAGGGCGCCAAAATGGCATATTTAGAATTGAAAAATGCATTCTATTTAAAAAATGTACCATTTTGGCGCCCTACTTTGTGAGCGCACCCTGTATAATTCCAAATATTTTTAAAATGAGGAGAATGTTCAACCATATCATAATACAAAAGCACTCTATCGAGAAATCTTATCTTCAAGGCATTAAGTCACTCCGCACAATCGTTGACTCACCCTGTGCAGGAATTCTTAAATTGATAAGAATCTGGAACCTAAATTTAGGTATGAATGTCATCTTTAGCGAAAGCGAATAACAAGCAATCAAAAATGGGTTGCAATCGACTCGTCTTTGGAAGTTCAAGTTAAGTACGATTTCCCATGTACACAAAAGTTCCAAAGGTGACTCGACAGCAACTCATTTTTGATCACATAGTATACAGTGTGAGTGATTTTGCGTGTCCAAGCGTATAGATTTCTTTTATTATTTGAGATGGGAGTAAACTGTACAGAACAAAAATACCCTACTTTCAAATTCTGCTACATATTAAAAAAAAAAGAGATACAAAAACAAAAGAGCATCAGAAAACAAAATAGTAGCCGCCTTAGTTTATTACTTCATCAAAATGATCATTTTTTTTAATAGGACGGTTACTTTTTTCTGCAATATACTTAAAGAGCTCGAAATTTTCTTTACAATTATATCAAATGGGTAATCATTACCTTAGAAATAAAAGCTACAGTAATGTTTTTAAAACCAATCGCAGTAGCTGTGGAAATTTAACCAAAAACAAGAGAGAGTGTTTCATTTGTCATGTCTGTCACAAAATTAGTTGAGTGAACAATATAACTTATAAGAACCACAATACAATAAAATTATATTTTATAAGTGTATTATTATACATTTTTTTTGTATTAATGGGAAATATGTAGTTGTCTCGGATGAAGGTGTTACGAATTATTTTTTACGAAAAAAGTAAAAATATTTTGAAATTTGAATTTATTTTTTTATTTTATTTTTAATTTTATTTTGCCTTTATTTTTAATTTTTATATTAACCTCACATTTTAGTGTTAATTTCCTCTTAAGAGTATTTCAGAAAAAAGTAACCGTTATATTTAAACAAATTATTTTGTTCTCTGATGCTCTTTTGTTTTGATATTACTTGTTCTTTTGAATATGTAGCTTTACCAGAAATTGAAAGTCGAGCATTTTTGCCAATAATAAATGAAATATATGCGTGGAGGCCCAAAATCAATCACACTGTATAATGCTCGCCAAGAAAGAATACCGGTCACGGAACACCTGATCCCGGTCTACAATCGTATGTTTTTCACATTAAACCATAGGATTGTAGACCGGTATCAGATGGTCTGTGACCGGCATTTTTTCCTGGCGACTTAAATATGTATGCTAGCATTGAAAAGACCCAAGACCCAAGTTGGTATATTATTATTTTAACCGTGAGGAAGCTAAAGAATAATCGCTGTTAGAAATGCTTTTATTTCACATGTAAATAGAATAGGATCATAAATACTGCTTTACGTAGGTATGTATATTCGGAATTAGGCAAATCAATGAGTCATTGCAATAAAATAATCGCAATTGAATTCGTCTATCGAGATCGAATTGGCATCAGGAGTCTTCAGAGGGTAGGCGGGTGGTTTCCTTTCCCTTCGGCACTTTGCCGATTTAATAATAATAATAATAATAATAATATGACGTGTATTGTTGAAGTGCCTTCTTAAGAACTGTCTCTTTCGCGTTGACTAATGGCCGAATCGTTGGTAATTTGTTAGAGCATCGTGTGGTTTGTGAGGTGGGTTTCCCCGATCACTGCAGGGCTGCAGGTGTAGTATATTGGGTCACTGGGTCCTGTAGCTTAGCTAGGCTTCGTTTTTTGGTAATCCTTTTCTTCCGGCTGGTCATTTTTTCCCATCCCCACCAGAGGCAGGGAAATGTAGAATTCTATAGTCGGTCCGTGTACTTTTAACTAGGTGCAAAATAAGCAACTGAAATTTTCGATTTGTGCGGTTGAATATTTTCTACCACTTGCGAATTAATGTGGTTTAACTATTTACTACAAGATCGTTCCGCCTCAACCCCATTTATTACTATGTGTTCTCTTACGGTAAATGCGATATTTTAAGAAAGAAATGTTAACAAAGAGTAGATATTGACTTATTTATTCTTTACGCCTTATCGTTGAGGCCAAAAGAGGGTTATTAACCGGCGAGCAGCCGAGGCGTATCAATATAATTATACAATAAGAACCACCCCCAATGTAATCAACCAGCAGAATTAGGAGAAAAGGTAAATCTGTATCCGTTACATGAGTTGTTGAGAATTAGAGATGAGAGAGTAGTCTTAAAATATCAAATACCTGTGACCCACGGTACCTGAGAAAAGTAACCTCAACATTTTTGGCAGGGTTGTTCTATAACCTGAAGTGACCAGACAGGCCAAATTTTTACACTACACGCTCTAGTCCTTTCTCTCTCCAACAAAAGAAACAGCCAGTCGATATCTCAACAAATAGAGTTGCGAATTTTACGCACCCGATTTAATTTTTGACAATTTTTTTAAATTTCTCGAAAATTTCCATTTTTTCGATATAATGACAAGGGAACATCATTTAACTTACTTGGTTTGCAAAAAAAGCCTAACCGCTTTTTGAAATACATCCATAGTCACGAAATGCTGAAGCATTCTCATGATGGCACCAGCTAAAAAAATTGACAGACAAGTTAATTTATCTGATCGCCTCACATTACCTTTGTAATTTTGTAACCCTGTACCATTACTTATGGAATTTAATGTGACCTCTCCAGAGCTGTCAAGTGCGAGGGCGTGCTGTGTGCAATCCAAAACGTATCGATCCATGGCATCCCAACCGATCTGTAACGCTTAAGCATTTACCGTGCTCATCGAAAAATAAGGTGTTTACCAAAGACGCTCCGAGATATCCGTAGTAGTAAACCAAACCTTCATTTAACCAGGTGTAGTTCCAGCTCACTGGGGAAATGTGGTTACCAAACCATTGTTCGGCGTAACTCTGAGACATTTCCAACGCATTGGTTTGGAGCTCAGGATCGCTCAGGTTGTACGCCAGACTTGAATTTCTACAAGTAGCACAATGGATAACAACGTAAGGTAATTAACAGTAGATTTACTTGCAACTCAGTAGGCCCCAACCGTTCACTTCTCCTCGTATCACCTCATGATCTGGAAGAGCAATTGAATCTATTTTAGAAAGCGGGTATTTCACTCCAATGTTGTCTTCCAGTTTAGACAAAAGATCGGCCCCTTCTTCCAAACGCAAGTTCACGTTCTCATTAGCCATATTAAGATCGGCAAAAATTCTATGTCGCCCATGACTCATCGACGATTTATAGTCGGTAATTACAAACGCGACTGAGTAGGTCGACATATTTAAAGATTCCTGGAATTCGTCAAGAAATCGACCTCCGCCCAAATATCTGGGGCATTTAAGCGTAGATTATGACTAATTAAGCGGATGTCTTACCTGGTATTCTGTAGGGGTTGATTTGAAATTGCCTGGTGAGTACTGGGTCGGATGATGTTGATGCAAAACTTCGCCTTTTGGTGTGGTTCGTCAAAACATGGGAACGCCCTTCTAGCCCCTTGCGGTTTGAATCGAGCTATTGCCATTTTTCTAAAAAGAATGACTTAGGTTGAACTTTTTACAATAGAAAATTGTTAATGGAACTTTGCCAGGTGGATCCATAACCAATAAAAAAAATAAACACGTGAGCAGGGGAGTGGGACTAAGTTTTTGGAGAGGGTGAAAAGGGGTAAAATCAGATGACGGCAATTTCAGGCCGAAGTTACGATCAGAGACAAAAGTCTTTTTAGTCACTTTCTCACATAACTTCAAATATCCGAAAAAATCGTGGAAAACTGTCTTTTTTGTTTTTTTTATTGTTCATTTCCACAAAAATGATTTTCTTTTAATGGCACTTGGTTGAAATATACTTTTTTCATTTAAAGAACTACAAAGTTTTTCAATATAAAAAATTAAGAGGTTTCCGAAATATTCGGCAAAAATCTTTTTTTTCAAATGAAACTGTCCTTTAAAGAATTATCGTAGGGAGTTCCATTTAGTGTCATTTTCTTTGTTTTTATTTATACTTTTTGACAGAATAAAAAAAGTATAGTCCATATTGGGGAAAAAGCTCCAAAAACGAAAAAACTCCAAAAAACACTTCAGTAACATGGAATTTTCTAGTAAATGTTTATAATTTGTTTAATTTTAGAAATTTGTCAAAAATGGATATCAGCATTCGATTCTACGGGAAAAAATATAAAAGAAACTACATTTCATTGTTTCAAGAGACTTTGTTCCTTGATAGTATTTATTAGAAACATATGAAATAATTTTGTGGAATGTTTGAAAGCGGAATTACCGTATATTTACAATAGAATTAAACCCCCCTTCCCCTTTCCAGAGTTCGAAATCGTTAGAACCCAGACAGGAGTGTGTTAGTGCCATTCTAAGAAGGCCCACGCTCGCATACACTTTAGGTATACGTATTATAGATTTGTACTCCTAGAGATGCTTACCAGCTCTTCAGCGCCATCTCGTTATTCATGTGAAACTATTAGTAGTGGGAAATTTAAAATTCTGCAAGTATATCCTTCGGAAAAATGAATCTGAAGACGCTTTCTCTGAAATGGAGTAGCCTGGTTTTTCTTTGGATGCTGAACATCAATTACCTGTGGAATTCAGTGATGACGCAGGGGAGCTTGAAGAACAGGGACAATTTGAGAATGATGAAGATTCAGTTCTAATCTAATCATCTTTGCGGAAATAAATAACAAAAAACACGGTTTTCCGCGATTTTTCTGTTACTTTGTGGTTATGTGAGGAAGTTACTGGAAAGAAAGTTGTAGAGTTTTTCACGATCTAAAATTTTTCTAATGAATACTTTCTCTGATCTCAACTTTTTCCGGAGATTACCATCATACGATTTTCAGTCGTTTTCACCCTTCCCCTGCTCACGTATTTATTTTTTTTTGTATTTGTTATAGACCATTTTAAGGTCCATTAACAATTTTCTTTTTTTTTTGCCTAAAAAATGGCAAAGTTGCGCAAGGGGAGAAATTACGTAAACGAAATTAATTAAACGTGGTGGTTGAATAATAATTTTTACTACTTATAGAGTAGTTGATGGTTACATAACAGGGTGTTTCATAATTGAATGTCAATATTTAAGGGGGCGATTTTTGGGTCCATTTTAAAAAGAAAACTTCATATGAACCTATGCCCTCAACGTCTTAACATTTAACATACAGGGTGGTAAAGTTTTCAAAAATAAATAATTTATTATTAATACCACCTTAGATATTTCAATGAAATTTGGCATGTATGTACTATGTAACCAGAGGCATTTCACGTAACACATTTTTTTAATTTCCACCAGTGGCGTTCGTACGGAATGTCGCATGCCCATTTTGGCAGGCATTGATGGTACGCCACTGATTTCTCTGAAAATAAAAATTATTCTTGAAATCCCCAATCATTGCTAAGCAAATTTGATCTCTTTGTTTTTTCAATCCGATGCATGGTTTTCGCTTAAAAAATAAAAACGCATCAACAGAATAAATAACTTTTCAGGCGCAGCCTACTACAATGATAAGTAATAATTCGTTTTTACTTAAGTAGTTTTCTTAATGTTTTATTGGAAAAGTTTCAAAATTGGAAGTAAGAAGCATAAGCAGATTTGAGCGCTTGATTTTTTCAATTCGACGTACGATTTTAAAAAGACAATCTTTTTCGCTGCATGAAATTGCCATGATCATGCAGAGAAACGGTTTTTATTTTTACCGTGCATCGGATTAAAAAAAACAAAGGGATCAAATTTGCTTGGAAATGATTGGGGATTTCAAGAATAATTTTTATTTTCAGAGAAATCAGTGGCGTACCATCAATGTCTGCCAAAATGGGCATGTACGAACGCCACTGGTGGAAATTAAAAAAATGTGGTACATGGCAAATTTCATTAAAATATCTAAAGTGGTATTAATAATAAATGATTTATTTTTGAAAACTTTACCACCCTGTATTTCAAAAGTTAAGACGTTTAGGACATGTTTTCTTTTTAAAATGAACCCAAAAATCGCCCCCTTAAATGTTGACATTCAATAATGAAACACCCTGTATAATATCTTCAAGCTTCCAATTGCGCTGTAAGTGTGTTGCATAACTATAGGAGTATGTCACTGCAGTAACTTTGCCTAAAGTTGGTAACTTGACGGTTTAAAAATAATACAGAGAATGCGACTAAATAAAGAGAGGTGGTGTTTGTAAACCCCCTGTTGAAACGGTCGAAGTTCACAAAAAAATCACAATCTGCTTAAGTGGCCTTGGAATTTGAAAATCCTCCCAGAATCTTGGGGTCGTCTTAGAATTTTATAATCTCATAATCTTTTAAGATTCTCCTTGTGATCATGGAAGACTTCTCGATGTCTTTGTAATATCTTCTGAGGATCTTTCTAAAATCTTCAGGATTATTAGCATTTTGGAATCTTCTCAGTATTCGTAGTCTCTTTTTGTTAAAGTACCTGGGCGTTCTTCTTGAATTAGGGAGGAAACGTATAAATAAAAAAAAATATTTCTCTACGTAGCAACCATCTTAATACATACATAAATAATAATAAAATAATAATAATAATATTTTTTTATTATTATTATTACTATTTTATCTTATTTTGTTTTATTTTTATTTTTTAAAATGATAGAATTTAGGACATGACTAGACGAACGACGTACACACATTAATCGTTACTTGATTTTAGCCCAAGTGTCAAGAGGGGGGGGGGGGGGTTTTTACGCACGCACCGTACGTTTAGTCCACCGTTGGAGCAGCAGTTTAATTATTTCGATAAACATGCATAACAATTGCGAATTTGACACCCAGGTTTCCTCTCTAGGCTATATTTAGTTTTTTCAAAAATTTTAAGGTAAATCTCCCCAACCCCTTCTAAAATCTACCCACACGGGTTCTAAGGAACAGCTGTACCAAGTGGCACCTTGGTATCACCATAGAGGACCTCTATGGTATCACAAAATGCAGAATTGCCGTTATACCGCTAGTACTACCGCTCTTTAAGCTTAGAATCAGAAAAAAATCCTTTTGAAAGGGCTTGAACAAGTTACCATTTATGAACATTTAAACGACCATATCTTACTCCATTTTTATTCTACAGAAAAAAACGAGAATTTTCAGAAAACCAATAATTTTGTACTCCACAATCCGGCTCTTCTATAATTTCTTTCGGGCTTTTCAAATCTACTGCCTCACCTTAACAGAAAGGTTTCCTTAAAAAATATCAGAATTTCACTTAGAGCGTGTAAGGTTTTATATAGAGTATCGTAAATTTGATTACCTGATTTATTTACTAAGACCAAAGATAATACTATATCTTTGCTAACACTAATAACGACTGATTTATAACAGTTAATTATTATTTACCACTTACTTGTATTCACACGTAATTATATAACACATTTACATTTATATTATGGACACCTTTGTACTCAATACGCAAATGGAAAAATGAAGTCAAAATAAAATAAAACACGAGCGCGAATTTCACTATTTATCACTTCGGCATCGATATTGAGACTAAAAAGTCAAGAAAATTTAATTGTTTATATAGCAAATAATAAATTTTCACAAAAAGTCTAGAAGGCATATCATATGCCACAGAAAGAATCGTTTTTTATTGCTGATGCCATGCCGCCTTGATATCGCTCTAGACAATTCGCTGCACTAGGAATTTTTCCAGAAAGAAGTAAAAGTTCTGCATTATTTAATTATCTTTGAGAACGACACGATGGTCAGAGTTGATTTTATATTGTTTGAATATTTCGCTCTTGGAGTAAAATTGGTGAACAAACATTTGCAGCGTCTTTAATATTAATACCTAAAGGACTTGCAAAGCTGAAACGGTTTTGGTCCGATTGATAAAATTTGAAAAAAAAAATGGTTTTTACATGAAAAAGTTTTCTCATTGCGCCAACCAAAAAAACCCCAAAACAATAGGGTTTACTCGGATATTCGAAAAAAATTTATGGCGTATGGCCCCCAAATAATATAAATGATTAATTTCGTCCTTTCATTTGCACCATACTGTATATTAAATATACGTTTATGTTACTGGACCAGCTAACTCTTTCAGTTATTTTGAAAACCAGAATTTTTTGTGTTTATAATGGGATCAGTTATATCTAAAGCTTCCCCCACCCCAGATAGATCAAAGATCAATAAAAATTACGTGGAAAGAAGAAGAAATTTAAGTGTGTACCTTTCTTTTCCGTTACGGTCAATATAGCTATTCAAGCAAAATCCCATTTTATCTTGATGACGCAAGTTTCCAGTGTAATCTTTTATAGTCAAATTGAAAAGATTTCCTACGGTTAGGGTATCTTCTGTTTGTATCACGTAGACGCCATTTTTCTCATCCCTATCAATTGACGGAATTTTCAAATTGTGCCCGGACGAATTAACGATTCCCACTTTCTCCGTGACAATCTGTATAGAATCGGCGTGCACGGTGATGTTTGTCGTGTTGGCCTGTACCAAGAAATCTATGGTCACACTACCGCTGAAAAGACCCATGGAGAAATCCGGATCCAAAGTGACATTGTAATGGATTGGTTTTACAATGTCTTGTTGGCCATGCACTTCTCTTAACAGTGCTAGCGCCAGAACGGCAGTAGAAAACATTTTTAAAATTCACTGGCACGAATCTATTTTAAAACTAATTTATTATTCAATTAACGTGTGAGATGTTTTTAGCATATCTTATCACAAAAAAGTCTTAATTAGGTGTAGAGATCTTAAATACACTAGATAAAATTGTTTAATGTATGATATTAGTGACGGCATACACAATTAGCGTTCCTAGAAGAAGCTTAAGACTGGAACCAAGCTTAACTGCACCATTCTCCGTGTTATTCACTTTATCGACGTAGGATTTAAGCCATTCTTGAACGATGTCTCCATACTTCGTATTCCAATCTACATTTGCTTGGATGATTTTTTTGGCAGAGTTAATGGCGTCTGCTTGTTTTGGATTTTCCTTAGCGAGGTTCGTAAACTGCAAACAAATACATTCAACTGCAACTGATTTGTTTAAATGGAAAGAAATGGAAACGTTAGAATTCCACGGAAGGCTCTGAAGTTCTTCAGCATTACTCAACCACAAAGTTTTCACTGATTATTAATTACAAAGCTCGTTTGGATGGATTCTCGCAGGTTTTTGACATTACTCACTCTGAGAGTCTTTAAAGATCCTCAAAAATTTTCCAAATATATTTTCACTCATGAAAAATTCTTGGTATTTTTAAAAATATTTTTCAAAAAATTCCTCAAGGATTCTTCACTTATTGATCAAGTGTGTTTTTTCACACTATTCAAACATTGTTATGAATTCCTTGGAGGTTTTTCAAAAACTAGATTTTTACGGGCTTTTTGGTGATTTATATTTAGGTATTCTGCAAAAATATTCTTCAGAAAATGTTTACAGATTATTGAGATATTCTTCCGTTATTGCATTAGGAAATAACCCAAATCTCAGAAAAGTTTTGAAAATATTGCAGGATTGATTTAATATATTTTTGAAAGCTCTGGAGAGGATCTCTATAAAGACTTTGTGATGAACCTGTTCGGACCTTATAAAGTATTTCTGAAGAGTCTTTAGGTAACTTTCAATCAATTTCTGAAGAATATATACAGAGTGCCCGCATTATTATATTATGGAATATAGTATACAGGGTGGTGACTTGCGTAACGCATCATAGGGATTTCAATGTAAAATTCATAACAGGCGATTATTGGCTCCCCAAATTATTTTAGAGCAAAAATTTATTAAGGTTTTTTGTAGAAAAAATTTTTTTACGCCAATCAACTGTATTAGTTTTCAATTTTTTGCATAATAAAGATGGAAAATTGGAAATTTAAAACCGGCATCTTTTTCAATAATCTGCGATGCCATGGAATTTTCTAAAACAAAAAGATATCCAGTTATCAATTAGCAGCAGTTCGAAATTGATTTTATGATCGACTTGGTTACTGTCTTGCAGTTAATGGTGACTTATTCGAACATTTATTGTAAATTGTTATATTAGGAAACCGTTTTTAGTAATTTGGTCTTTCTTTATGTTGAATTCACTGTTCTACATATAATACTTTTTGATAGAATGTGATTTGTTTTATAGCAGACATTCCATGGCATGACGGATATTGGCGTAGTTTTTGTATTATAACATTCCATGGCATCACAGATTATTGAAAAAGATGGGGGTTTTATTTTTCCAATTTTCCGTCTTTTTTATGCAAAAAATTGAAAACTAATACGGTTGATTGACGTAAAAAATTTTTTTTTACAAAAAACCTTAATACATTTTTGCTCTAATAAATATCGATAAGGCAGCATTCAGTTGTTTTTATTCCAGAAAACAAATGAGTAACGAAAAACAATTGAATTTTTTAAATTAATTGAGGGTATCCATGTTTTCTGGAACTCAAAATGGGGTGGACATCGAAGACATTAGGGAGAATTAATAACTCAAAACCTTCCCCATGTGTCTAAATTTAGACGCATGGGGAAGGTGTTGATTTATTAATTCTCCCTAAATCCTTTGAATTTTTTCAATGGCAGTGCACCTTTTCATTAGACTCATTTTTGTCTCTTTTCGATGATGTAACATTTTAGCACCCTAATAGAAGAAAATTTTTCAAAAAAACTTAAATATATAAAAAATAAAATGTTAAACAACTGTCATATAGAAAAATTTGGTATACATTCGATATTTACCGAGATATACTATGCTCCATACATAATGGGCGCCCTGTATAAAGACTAATCAAAAGATAAAAAATACTATATTTTTACATAGGTTCGAAAAACTCTGAGGAGATGTCTAAATATGAACACCTGCAAAGAATAGTGTCTCAAGAAACTCTAAAATATGAATCTTCTGAGCATTCTTGATAAGGGTCTATGGTGGTACACCATCCTGTTGAAACCAACGGTTTCCAATTTTTCCTTTTTTTGTATGTGACATATATCGTTGGATTCATAATAAAAAATGCTACTCAATAGCCCTGTGGTGCAGTTCAGTTAAAGCTAAACTGTGGTGCCAAGGGTCCCTGGTTCGAATCCGGGTTCGGGCCTGGATATTTGTAAATGTATCCAGTCCACTCAAAAATAAAGGCAAAATAAAGGAAATACAGTATGTACTTTTTTTACGGGCCATATGAAAAGAAAAAGGGTTACAAATCTCTCAATAGTATCTTGTAGAGCTCCCACAGTGACAATGAGAAAGTGTTTTTAATTTTTTTGTATCTGTTCAAATAACATCGGGAAAAAATAAAAATCAAATCGGCAAATTTCTGTTTTTCTGGCATATTTTCGGAAGTATTTGGAATTTTCTGGTTTCTTTTGAACCATGCATTCAAACGCGCCATTTTCAAGAGCGCCACCGGATGTGCAGGGCTCGTAGCTTACCATTGCGATCTCCGTAACGGTGAGAGATACAGTTTAGGTTAAATGGGGGGAAAGTTGCCCATTTTTGTGACCAAAAAACGCATTTGACAATTTTTAAGAAACCTACGCAAGTACTTAACTGAGATATGACCGAAAAACTGAAAACATCAAATTTCGCTGGGCACTTTTTTCGGAGCATCTGAATCTGTTATCAGAATTTCTATAGCACGCTAGATATGTAGAAGCTACAGGCTACACTTTCTTATTTTTTATGAGAACCATATTGGATTTTTACGGAATGAGATAGAGAACAAAAAAATAAATTCATTTGAATGCATCGCCACTGTTGGTTTTGAAATTCTTTTTGTAAATTTATGTAAAAGTATGGAGTGTGACACGTCATTAATTTTCTTTTTTTGTCCTCTATCTCATTCCGTAAAAATTCAATATGGCGCTCATAAGAAATAATAAAGTAGTAGCTTGTAGTTTCTAAATCTAGCGTGCTATTTTCATAACAGGTTCAGGTTCTACGAAAAAAGGTGCCCATAGAAAGTGCCAACGGGTAGGAAAATGAAAACGAAATTTGACATTTTCAGCTTTTCGGTGATATTTCAGTTATTCTCAGATTTTTCAAAAATTTCAAAAGGGTTTGTTTAGTCACAAATAGAAGCAAGTTTGCTACCACTTAACCTACACCGTATCTCCCACTGTTACGGAGATTTCATTGGGGAGTCACGAATTTGAACCACCCTGTACATTTGATAGGTGACTATTTTGGGAAATTTAATTGTAATTATATTTAGATAATTTTTAAAACTTATTGATTTGATCTAGTAAACAAAATTGCACTTACCGCATCTACGTGCTCAACGCTATGTAATTTAGTGGCAATATTGTTCAAAATGGTCGGCAAGGAAGAACTAAAAAGTAAAATAATTTTAAATAATTGAAATTGGTGCCTGCTTTACGTCTCACCATGGGGATCTCGGTTACCTTTTTTTTTGTTTCCGTAGCACGTGAAAACTGAATCACTAGAGAGGCGTAGCGAGGAATGGGGGGGGAGTTTCATAACATTCATCGAATACTAATTTTTTTTAGCAATGCAGTAGCTTTCACAAATATCGTTTTTCTTCAACATTTTGCGCCTTCCAAAATTAGAAATAATTATGTAAATTGAAATTATTTGTGCATTTGGGGAGGGGGGGGGGGATTTCAGAATTATCTTCGGGCTCTTTCTATCCTCGCTATGCCTTTTAGTGCGGTTATACTAACTCGTACAATTTAATCAAGTATAATTTGCCAGTCTGCCTAACTGAAACGGTTAGTTCAATTCCCAAAGGAACTTTCGGTTTGATATTTTAAAATTTGCCACAAGATCCCCATACTGAAATACGAAAAATAGGCACCCTCTATAGTCATACGTACAGTGTTTTTATCTTAGGAAAATTGGCAACGATGTAATTGAATAAAGATTTTATTCCGAAATCTCCCGCATTAGCAACTGCTTTAAACGCAACAGCCGTGTCAGTTGTTTCATCAGTCAACGCCATATTAAAGAACCTACCCAACCAGGGATTAGTTTCATTTAGAGGAAATGTCAAAATCTTACTTGTCCAACGAGTCTTTGTCTTCCGTGCAACTGAGGCCGATTAATACTCTGGATTTCCGCAGTGCGTGTTTGGTTGAATGATACAATTTATACAGTTTGATCCATTCGGCCGGAGTACCGGCACGTACCGCACCACAATATACCACACTCTGTAAGTTTGGAGGAATCTGAGAGGCACCATTGAACATCTCCGTCACATGGCTATTACAATGCTTGTTGCCAAACTTGCATAACCACTCCATCAGCATTACCCTCAAATATTCGGCAGTAATCGCCTCATTGCCCTTTTCAGTCATACCGAGCACTTGAAGTGCAGTTCCATTCAAAATGTTGTTCAAATAAATCTAAAACGATTTCGGATTTAACCTCGCCTAACCCAGTCGAAAGCCTCACCTTAAAATTCTCCCGGTCAGTCGAATTCGCCAATCTGTCTCCCATAATTCCCGCGTGTTTCAAAAATGTGGCAATGGGCACGTACTCTTTTTCACCCTTCAAAAAAGTGGTTAGTTCAAGTGTCGCGTTGTACTTCATTTGGCCAACGCTAGCGAAAGTGAAGGAGTCGTCGATCAGTTGGGCCTTATTGTACGTGTGAATTTTAGTATGGTCTTTGTTAATCAACTCCTCAGTTAGGCGCCTCCAATTCTCTTCGTCGTACATGATCCTATAATAACCTAAAATGGCCAAGTCTAGCAAACGCTCTATCAAATACACTGGAGTCATTACCAGTTTGCTGCTTGTTAAACAGTATCCACCCTTTCGTCGGCATACCGTGTAGTTCTCCCGTTTTCTCATGGAACCAGCTCGTAGCAACGGTGCTTGTATAGCTGTCACTATTTAGATTCACTTCCGTAACAAAGTTTATGGGTATATGCCAGACGGATTGATCAGTACCGGTGGAGTCTTCAGTGAAGAACCGTTTCTAAAAAAATCAGTGAATTTACAAGGGTTTAATTAAACGATGACTTACTTGAGATAGACTTATCACCCCGGTGTTGTAATTCCTGAAAACGCTCAGTACGGGATATCCCGGCTGGGAGTCCCAAGTCTCCATCATTTTTACTATCGTAACGCCATGGGTTAAGTTTGTCAATTTTTTCTCTTCTAAGGTCTTTTGGAATGACATATATAAATCTGTTGGTGTAACTGGAGTGTACGCGCTAAAATCGGTTTACAATGTAACGGGTCGTATTGAGACATTTACCACTCACTGTTCTTCTAAGTAACTCTTCAGTGCACTTACGAAGACGTCCTCTGTGACAACATGGTTCAGCATTCTTATAACGGACGAGGCTGTAAAGCAGAACTGTAAATTTGTCTACTACTTAATGCCCTTACATTTTTGATAATTGATTATTGAAGGGGCCGTTTCAGTGTTCATCGGCACTGTGTCTTTCGCGCTATCTTTCGCTAAAGCTGCATGAACCGAATCCATTACAAACAGACCTTCCATGTTCCAATTTAGCTGAAAGGAATAAATGCTCAATTTCACTTTTTTATAGCTCCTAGAGCCACAGATGTATTTAAAGCTATGACCTCTGTGAGTTATATTCGGAGCAATATTCCCCAAGAAGGCAAAGGAAGTCAAACAGATGTCACGAAGAAGGAGGAGTATAAAAGGAAACGAAGAGTGGACTACTGATGGAAAGCATGGTTAGTACGTCACTGAAGGCGGAAGCCTGAAAAGACCGAAACCTTAGGATTCAGGTTGAATTGAAAATCGATGTCAGAAGTGTTAAGTGATTGAGGAGTATATTTATTAATTAAATTATTAAAGCACGTTTACAAATGAAATTTTTATAGATTTTTAAAATATTCTTCAGAAAATCCAAAAGTTTTTTTCAGAATTTCTTTTGGAATCCATACAATTCCATGGAAGGCTCTGAAGTTCTCAGGATTACTCAACCATAAAATTTTCAAGGATAATTACAAACCGCGTTTAGATGTATTCCAGCAGGTTTTTGACATTGACTCACTCTGAGAGTTTTTAAAGATCCTCAAAAAACTTCCATAATATATTTTCACTCATGAAAAATTTTCGGCTTCTTTGAAAAATATTTTTCAAAATTCCTCAAGGATTCCTCGCGTATTTATCAAGTATTTTTTCACAACTATTCAAACATTGTTATGAATTCCTGGGAGGTTTTTTGTTTCGCGCGATTTATGCGTCCCAATAATAAGTTTTTAGCGCATTTTTTAAGAAAATAATAGTGCAATTGTTTGCGTTTTGTCCCTCCATCCGTCCGTCGGGGTCAACGTCTACGGTTGTAAACTACTTTTAGGAGAATTGTTCTAGAGTTCTGGAATGTTCTTGCAATAGGTAGTCTATACCTCTGCTTCTAGTGTAAAAGATTAGAGGTGGGAGGAGGGGGGTAGTGGTGTGGTAGACCCACGTACTATTTTTCATGATAGTCTAATGAAAGGTCTCATCAAAACAAATTTTCACCCTCTACTTTTGATTGAGAAGTCTAATCGAAAAAGTACGAATTGTTTTGAATTCTACGCACCAAAATTAATAAGAAAAAGTGTTTTCCCGAGAAATATTGGTGCAGTCGATTTTTGGTAAAAATGGAAGGTTATACACTGCCTTTTTTTGCCCCGAAAAAAAAATGGTCTCAGATCGACCGGGAAAAACCATTTTCTTATAGAATGTGGCCTGTAGAATCCATAATTTCAAACAGTTCCAAGATTGGGCTACTAGTTCAAAAGTTACAGCCCTTTGAATTTTCTTTCGAAATTGGTTCTACTCTATAACTTTTGATTGAGAAGTCTGATCGAAAAAGTACGAATTGTTTTGGATTCTACGCACCAAAATTAATAAGAAAAAGGGTTTTCCCGAGAAATTTTGGTGTAGTCGATTTTTGGTAAAAAAGGAAGGTTATACACTGCCTTTTTTTGAGGCCCGAAAAAAAAATTGTCTCAGATCGACCCGGAAAAAAATTTTCTTATAGAATGTGGCCTGTAGAATCCATAATTTCAAACAGTTCCAAGATTGGGCTACTAGATCAAAAGTTACAGCCCTTTGAATTTTCTTTCCAAATTGGTTTCTAGTCTATAGCCCCACAGGGCCATTCCCTTAACAATTAAATGACAAGTGGTACCTATCGAGCAATAGCTTGTTTAAAAGGTTATTCGAAGTTCTTTATTTGACGTTTGATTTTTTAAAATCGGTCGATTCGAAAATTAGAAAAATCTTTATTTAATTTATTTAATCGACCTATCTTAATTTGTTCAGATAGAAAACAAAACAAACGAAAATATCACTTATTTGTTGCTATTGGAAAGAAAGAATTTAATTTGCTGTCAGTTAATTTAATTTATATTATCCTCAAAGTTTGGATGAACAACATGTTTTTGAAAATGTCCGTCACGAATTTGAACATCGCCTATATCTTTGTTTGGCCAACATTTTGACACACTATTGAAATAAAAATTGTTTTTCATTTGTTTTTGTTTTTGTATCTGAACAAATTAAGATAGGTCGATTAAATAAATTAAATACAGATTTTTCTAATTTTCTCGAAAACGAATCGACCGATTTTAAAGAATCAAACGTCAAAATAAAGAACTTCGAAAGACCTCTCAAACAAGCTATTGCTCGACACCACTTGTCTTTTAAAAATTTTAAGGGAATGACCCTGAGGGACAGAGGGAAGTTGTCTTCCTTGACAAATCTTATGACTTCGGCGTTTTTTCCTTTAATCAGCGGTTTTTGATAAATTCGTGGTGGGAAGTTTTCAAATGAACACCGTGTATAAGCAAAGGCAGTTTGATGGACAATACAACCGAATATTACGGATTATTCAATTATCGTGATAGCAAAACAACTGGATGCCTGGAACAGTGTTAGGTTTCTCGCCATCTTTTGTGGTAATTGTGTAGTCGGACGTAGAAGGGCATTATCCACTTCTTTTTCGTCGACTGAGTTCTTAATTTTCGATCTACTACGCGCGCACGGATAAGTGACAGTACTCAGAACTGATTGGCTACGGAAACTCGAAGTGATTTTAAGGGTTGAAATGGCCTGCGGTTTACAGAAATAAATGTAAGACTCAATTCCGGTCTTACTGACAGCTAAGGTACACTTTTACAACTACCCCTAAACCGGCACACATTTTTCCATATGAAATGAAATTAAAATAAGTAAAATACAAGAGAAACAAGTAAAATTGAATAAGTTAGACGACAGGCAAGTTTCGTGAATTATAAAGGACCACATGCAAATGATTATGTTTAATTTAATTAATCAATGGTAAATTAAAGATATTATTTTGCATTACTGCCCAATTCGAACTTTATTAGTAGTGTAGATTTACTTTACGAACGAGTTTCGTTAACCGCCTACAGCGCCAAATGAGTAACGGTTGTACGTCTGATTCGAACCGTTCACTTTTCTTTCACTCTTATTTTGATTAGTTCTAAGAAAATAGATGTGATACCTACTCGAAAAATGATTTTTTTAATATTAGGCTCACCAGGAGAGAATTCCGGTCACAGAGGCCTTGATGTTGGTCTACAGATCGTAAGGTTTAATATGAAAAACATACGATTGCAGACCAGAATCAGGTCACCGGCATTCTCTCCTGGCCAGCATTATATGTAAAACCAAGAGAGTGCCAGTGCACCCAATTTAGTTCGAAAAACGTCAATTCTAATGTTTTTCTTTGAACACACGAGTATTTTGAATTTATTAGTAGAAGACCAATATTGTATCAATGGCAGTCATATAGTGGAGAAAAGTACTCTTCACAGAAATTTGTTCAATTCCCGACAATAGATTAATGAATACATACCATTGTAGGAAGAAAAAATTCAAAATATTCCGCAAATCCTTCGTTCACCCACGTGTAACTCCACCAAGAACAAGTAACCAAATTACCAAACCACTGATGGGCATACTCATGCGCGATAAGTGAAACAGTACGTACGCGTCCAGCTGTAGTTTGTTCTTGTTGTGGGTACACCAGCGAGCTTTTCCTGAAATTATAGCAGTATGAAAGGAAAGAGCATAGATCCTAGATGATCTTACTTGTAAGTTACTAAGCCCCAATTTTCCATGGCCCCAAACGCATAGTCCTTATCTGGAATGGCAATTTGGTCTAATTTACTGAACGTGTATCTAATCCCAGTGAATTCTTCCAGTTTTTTAAGAACTGTAATTCCCCATTTCAGCGCGTATTCTCCATCACCATTCCTGATCGAGTCTTCGTCAGCAAACACGCGTTGCCCCTGACGCGTTTCCGTGGAAATATATTTGCTTACGACAAATGCAACCAGATAGCTCGACATTCTTCTCGTTTCGCGGTAAGAGTCTATGTACTTTTCGGTTTGAAGGTACTTCCTAAAGTGACGTATATACTAAAATTCTGAACCGCTTTTTTGCACTTACCTGGAGGAAACTAGTTCCTCATTGGACAACGACATATACTCCTTGGGCCTAATTAAGTGAATAGTAAAGTTGGCCTTAAAGTGCGGCTCATCGAAACACGGAAAAGCTCTTCGAGCTCCAATGGTTTGGAATTGCGTTGTCGCAAATTCGCTAAAATCGAGTAAGTTAAATCGTAAATCCACAAATCGTACTCACTGTATTCTATTAGCGTTGTCATGGTACGTTGCCAAATAAAATCCTGTCTTATCCGTCGCCGATATTTGACCAGTAAAGCTTGCGAAGTTTATTAAGTACCTCGCTCCTTCACTTAGCGACTTTTTAAGATTGATTACTAAAAATTGCCGACCAGCATCTAGGGCAACTTCCTTGGTCCCAATTGACCCTCCATTGGTGGCGGATACGATTACATTAGTTTCATTAAATCCATCTAACTTGTTTGAGTGCAAAGTTATGACGTTGGTTCGTTTTTTTGCCTCAACTTCAATTTGAACCTGCCCGACAAATTTTCGTGTGCCTATATCCGGTTCTAAGGTTATAGTGTAACGAATGGGAATGATGTGTGTTGGAAGCCGTTCCATCTGCCTCTCATGCTTGTACTCTTTATAACACCATACACCCGTAATCAACAATAAAATATTCCATACCGTGTTTTTCATTTTTCAAGAATACATATATTAAATGCAATAATTATAACCTTAACTACAATCTCGTGATGTTCAAGCCTCATATCTCCATTTATATAACTTTTTTTAATCGAATTTGATAAATACGAATCTCGTTATCAATTAGATAATTATTCTAGAGAGGGTCATAGATCTACCTGTCAGGTACTTTGATTGTGTTGAGATATATACGTATACTTTATATGCGAACTTTGATTATCTTCAACTCTGTTACAACCCATTTAGATTAATATATTTTTTTCAAAACGCAACTCCAGGATCGCTTTCCGTTGTTAAAGTCTTCCTGTTTGTCATTTTTCTAACGAAATTGATAAGTGATTCCCATTGTGGAAGCCGACTGGTAAAGGTAACTAGTAGGTATTACTTTATTTAAGTTTCAAAAACCTTCTCCAGATTTTTATGTTATCAATCAATCAAAAATTAATTGTCTAATTCACAAACTATGATATGAGGTGAAATTCCAAGCAGACCTTTTTTATGATGGCCTCTCGAAAACTGAGAATGTTCATTTGCACCTCAGTTACTCTCGATAGATAAGGAAAGTGTTAACAGTACGTAACATCTATCAGATACCCTTTTATACCATCGTATTGTTATTACTGATTCTGTGGGGGGAAAATGCGCTCCTATATTTTCTTGTTTAAAGTGTTTATTAGAAAAGTGTCTTTAATGATGTTGAATGATCTGTCGTTAACCTCATTTTTTTAGTACACCATCTCTATACTAATCCAAAAAGAGAGCATGTTAAATTCTTTTTTCAAAAATATAACACAAAAAAATAAAAAAAACTCAGTATTGATCGAGAAAAATTCAAAATTTTTGTGCTATGAAAAATAAGCGTCACATGCTCTTTTTGGGTCAAACTTAAAATGGTAAAATCAAAGTTTGAAAATATTCGGGAAAATGCCAATTTCAAAATAATAATATGCATTTGCATTCTGCATTTCTTGTTTAAAATGTTTATTACAAAACTAGCTTTATAATTATTGTTGAATGATCTACCGTTTTCCAAATTAGTATACGGGGTCAGGACAAAAGTAATCGGACCTACCCTCATCTTTTTTAATGGAACGCTCTCTATATATTTATCCAAAAAGATAGCATATTATCTCTTCAGAAATATAGAACAAAAAATTTAATAAATTCAATATTGATTCAGAAAGATAAAAAAGGATTGAAATAATTCAGCCATCATCGAACCTAATCACATTTTTTTTAATGGAGTACCTTCTCTATATTGGTAAATTCTTTTTTAAAAGTATAGCACAAAATAATTTAAAAAAACTCTATTTTTTCCAAAAATATAGCACAAAAGACTTTAAAAAATTCAAAAATTGTTTAATATATGTGGGTCAAACTGAAAATGTCAAAATTTGAAAATATTCGCTGACTTAAGAGATACGAGGGAACATAAAAAATTGTCAGTTTCAGTGTGACCCTATATTTTATTAATTAAACGAGATACAGAAAATAAATATTCAGAATGATCCTACATGATCCGTTTTCAAAAAAAGTATACCGGGTCAGGCAAAAAAGTTATTGGTCCTAACATAATTTTTTTAATGGAACACCCTCTCTATATTAATCCAAAAAGATAGCATATTAAATTCTCTTTTCAAAAATATAGCACAAACTTTTTCAAAAAATCTGATATTGATTCAGGAAGATTAAAGAAAGGATTTAAAAAAATGCAAAAATCTTTTTTAAAATTTTTTATTTTTTTGTGCTATCAAAAAAGTAATGTATGCGTCATGTGCTGATGCGTGTACAAATGAAGCTTCGATTTTTTGTGGACTGTATGAATGTAAATTGATTATAAATCTGGATGGAAATTACAATACATTTGTAATGGTCTTCTTTGGTTGTGCGACCAAAGTTGGATATTCACTCCTGAAGAAGCGTGATCAAAGTGGAAGTCCGTTATATCGTCATATGTATCTTCCCAATCGCCCCGTCGTCTTCATCAGAAATTGAACCTGCTGGATCGGCTAGAATCTGATTAATGATAGGTAGTGGAGTTGGATTTGTTGAACGTTTGGTTTTAGTTTTAAAATAAAAATACCGTAATTGCAGGGGGAAACAAGTACCATTTTTGGTGTACAGCAAAAATTCAAATTCAAATTAATTCATGTTAATTCAAATTAATTCACGTTAATGAAACTAATTCAGGTTAATTCAAATTATTTCACGTTAATTCAAATTAATGCACGTTAATGCAAATTAATTCAGAGGGGTATACACCAAACATTCAAAGTTGTTTCCCTCTAGGATTTTAATGTAATCGCAAAGAACTATTTACAGTGGCAATTTCATACAGCGACGTACTTGTCACTATTACTTTCCGAGTACATATTATAAACTATGTATAAAGGAATGCCAATGTTGCATTTTCTGGACGGTTTGAAGCCCACTTACCCCAAAAAAGTGGCCTTGATGCCTGGGTGTGCGTGTGGGTGTGTATGTGCCTATGTGGTTCGTTTTTTTTTGTGAACACGATATCTAAAAAACGTCCGAACCGATTTTTTTGGATAAAATTTTGGTTTTGATGCGTAACCATATTCATGGTTGTTGAAGGTGTCAAATGTTTAAAAGAGCCATGACGGCTTGAAACAATTTGTTTCCATTTTTTCACATACACTGGCCAAGGTGGCTTCAAAAACTTGCCAAAAGTTCATTCGTGAGTTTCTTAGTTTTTGAAAAATTTTGAATTGAAAAGTGAAATTATTTATTTTATTTTTCGAAATTTGTATTTTTCTCGAAAAGTAAGCATCACAGCGAAAAATGTTAATTACAAAAAAGATGTGTCTTGATGAGATCTACAAAAAAGTGTTGTAAGTACACTTTTTGCGCCGGGTTCAAAATAAAGGTGCCAGAGGGCATTTTCTAAATGCTGTACTATGACCTCTATTAAAAGTAGTGGGAAAGTCAAGTCAGAGTTTACCTAGTTCTGTAACTAGTTCTTGCTTGGCATTATACAGGGTGTTAATTAATTGAGTGCCGATAATAAAGGCTGCGAATCCTCGGGTGATTTTAAGCAGAAAAGTTTACATCAACTATGTCCTACACCTCTTAGTTTTTGAGCTGTAGGTGTTACAATTTTAAGGAAAAAGTAAATTTTTTATCACTCTTAGATATTTTTATGAAATTTTGTACACACCATTTTATCATTAAGGAGCATTTGTTGATACAAAAGATTTTTTTTAATTTTTACCAGTGACGTCCGTACGAGGTTTGAACTGACAATTTTATTTTAAGGTTTAGGACATTATGTTGATATAAACTTTTCTCCTTAAAATCATGCGAGGATTCACACCCTGTATTATCGGCACTCAATTAATTAACACCCTGTATAAAACAACCTTACCACGGCTTACTTTTATAAATATATTACAAAATACAAAAAATGGAATAATTTCCAAAATACAACAAGAAATGTAAATCGATAATAGGTTAATCGAAAGTTCCCGGAAAGACCTACATTAAAAAAAAATACGTCAAAATCTGATTAATCGAGAAATCAGCTTTTGACTTTGGGCTTGTTTTTGAGACAACCAAAAATAATTTTGCAAATCGGGTCGCATCGAACGATTCTTTAAAGCGTGAACTTTTTAATGCTTCTATTTGACCAAAATGTATGAGTTTTATTAATCAGAGTGCCAAATTTGTTTATTTAATTATGCAATAACTATAAAACCTAGGAGAATCGAGCTGGTCATATTGTTTTGTTATCAAAAGAAGTGACCGAATACGGATTTTCAAAATGATCGATGAATTTTACTTAGTAATAATGGATTTGTTAATTTTCGGGATTACTTTTTTATATTTTTCCATAAAAAACAATAACATATGAAAATCAACGGTCTATACCAACTGTATCTTATACAAAATTCACCCCGCTGGACCTAGCTGGAATTACGAGCTATTTAAGAGCTTTAATTTACAATCAATTTCGATTTTTGAGCGCCACTCCTAAAAGAACAAATAGATATAATCGATGGGGCGGCCAGCTCCAGTTGGACGTAGCCCCTCCTGTGTTATCGTTTACTTATTTCAAATTAATTTTTATGCATGAATTACGAGCTATTTAAGAGCTTTCATTTACAAGTAATTGCAATTTAAGAACGTCACTCTTAAAAAGAGCAAATAGATGTCATCCTGGGAGCGGCCAGGTCTATTCTGGCGTAGCCCCTAATCTGTTTTTCTTTATTTATTACAAATTAATCTTTGTCCATGAATTACGAGCTGTTGAAAAGTTTTCATTTAATAAGTAAGTTTAATTTTGGAGCTCCACCCTCAATAGGTCAAATAGTCAATCGTTGAGGGCGGCCAGGTCCATTTCACAGTAGCCTTACCTCTGAGCTACCGGTTAGTTGCATCAGTACGTACTCTCTGTGTTTGCATACGACTGTGAGTGGACATTTCTTTCCCCCATACTCGTGGCACTCTTATGGCCCAAGAAAAAACAGAAAACACAACAAACTACTCCGAGAGCACCGGTATTAAAGAGCCTAACTCTCCGGAGCGGCGCACCGGAAGCTAATAAGGAATGAGACAGGAACCAGGAGACTCTCGGTAAGAGGACATATGGCGAATCAAAGCCTGGATCCTTGACAGAGTCGATGCTTTTCCCCAATTTACGGAATGTCGCCACAAGGGAGAGCGCTGCTGATCACATGCGCAATCCATGGTATCGGTGGACTGCTTGAGGTCAGAGCTAGCGAGAGCAGCTCCAGGGGGGTGGGGGCAGACATTTTGATTCTTCGAAACGAAGACCGGAAGGGCACACGCCTGGATCCTCAAGTGGAACCCCAAAAGGATCGAAAGCCAAAATGCTGGAGATTAAATGATGCGGGTTACACCACAGTGTTGCCGATGACATAGTGATTGTAGTACGTAGGGGATTTGAGGAGATCGTATCAGTTGTGAGGCAAGGAGCTTTAAATCTAGTGGAATCATAGTGCGAAGAGGAGGGCTTGTCTGTTAATTCAACAGAAACAAACCTCATTAACTTTTCTCACGTACAAAAGTGCCGACAAAGCTAAAGGACCTTGCAATGTAGGGCACCAAGCTACAGGTAGTGAGAGAAGGTAAACACTTGCGCATCACGTTCGCCCAAGCGCCTAATTTCAAATTACAAATGGAAAAAATAGCGAACAACGTCACAAGGTCCCTGAATATACACTAAAATAATTATGCCAGTTATTACGTATGCGTCACTGGTGTGGTAGGATCAGACCTTTGCCCAGAAGAACATACAGATACTGATCAAGCTGCAGCGCAAAGCTTGCCTTAGAATTACGAGGACAATGATAACGTCTCTGACAGTAGCTATGGAAACTTATGAACCGCCACTACACCTGGTAATTATGGCAGAGGCACTCAGACGGGCATACTGGCTGAGAGTTAATGGAGAGGAGGAATCGTCAAGGGTGATGCATTCGCTTAATCTTTGATGAAATATCTAAAAGTAAAATAGCTCGGTAGGATAACTGAGAGGATAACCAAAACAGTTTGTGATTTAAAAAAACTGTTTAAGATGATAATCCCCGCTCGATACGGAGGCAGGATAATACTAGTAAGGTAAAGCTGAATGGAATCGTGTATTACACAAATGGCGGAGGGCACCGGCTGTGGAGTGTACGGAAGCAATTGACAGGGCTTCATAAACTAGGACAAAAAGCACCCTTGCTCCAAGACGAGGTATACGCAATCCTGACGGCAGTTGCTCAATTATATTAACAGAAAACCTTACTAAAAGGAAAATCTTTAGAGTAACAGACAACAAAGCACCGATTGCAGAATTAGACTCATATGTAGTCGATTCAGGACTTTTCCTTGGATGCACACAAGTACTAAACGCACTAGGAAGCTGTAACACAGTCACAAGTGGAACTGGCCGACCCATCGATTATATCTATTTGCTCTTTTAAGGGTGGCGCTCAAAAATCGAAATTGCTTGTAAATGAAAGCTCTTAAATAGCTCGTAATTCCAGTACAAAATTTAATTTGAAAAAGTAATTCTGATCAGTGGGGGGGGGGGGGCTGAGTCCAAGTAGACTTGGCCACCCCATAAGGAATGTTCGATTCCTAGGGATTTAAGCGAGCTCTAAAATTTTAAGCTTGCGATATGAAAAGCTCCTAAATAGCTCATAAATTGGATACCATTCTTAAATTGATTCACAATGGGGGGGGGGGCTAGGTCCAGCGGGGTACAAAATTCGATTCTAATCATTTTTTCCCTCAGAGCAATAGTTAACGAGTCAAATGCGAAAAGAAACGACATTTTGTCATTTTTGTTTTGTTTTTTGTTTAGAACAATATGTTCGCGGAGTTTCCGGCCAGGGGGACTATGATTTTCGGATTCAGCGGAATTTTTTACATAGAATACACTTGGTTTCGTTGAGTGAAATGACAATGACAACATCCATTCGACTTAACTTTAAGCGATACTTAATTTTGACGGTGCAATCATATGGAATAAAGAAATTGGGTACCTAAATTCATTTATTGGTATGACTAAAGTATTCTGTCAGCTTACAGTTGCATAGGTATCTTTAGTATCTACTATTTTACTTTTAAAAATATCTTAAAAATATCCTAATAATATTGTTTAATACATGAGATTAGTGATGGCATACATAAGTACAGTTCCAAGAAGAAGATTCAGACTGAAACCAAACTTGACTGCACTGTTGTCTTTGTCTTTGTTCAAACTATCGACGTAGGATTGAAGCCATTCAGGGACGACCTTCCCATATTTTGTATTCCAGTCGACATTTTTCTGAATGATGTCCTTTGCAGTGTTAATTTTGTCTTTCGTGTCTTGGTGATCAGCTGCCAGTTTCGTGAACTGAAATTATACGTAGACAATTTTAAATCGCGGTCTGGTTAAAGTTACGTTGTAAATTACACTTCATTTGATATTTGATCGGGCATGCAACACCTTATAGGCTTTATAGTTGACAGGACTGTCAATTAATACCAATATAAACACAGGCATACTATGTACTTACCGCATTTACGTGTTCAGCAGTGTACAATCTGGTGGCAATAGCTTTTAGAATGTCCCCAATAGAAGAACTGAAAATAAAAAAAAATGTAATGCCAACTAAACCATTTCAAGCATACTTACAGTTTCTTTATTTTGTCAAAGTTGGTTGTAATGTATTTAAAAGTGGAATTTACTCCAAAATCACCAGCGTTAATAACAGCTCTAAAGGCAGTAAGTGGATTAACGTTTTCATTGGTTAGTGAAGTCTTAAAGAATCTACAACAAACGTTCATCACTAACTGATGTACACAGCCTTTAGTCGTACTTGTCCAACTTATCCTTATCCTCCGTACACGCAAGACCCGTTAATAGCCTATTACGCGGTAGCTCATGTGTAGCTGAATTAAACATTTCAAAGAGCTTGTCCCAGTCAGTAGTTGCCCCGAAGCGTGCCGCCCCACAGTACACAACACTTTGTAAGTTTGGTGGGATCGACGACGTGTTGGTGTTAAAGGTGTCCATTACGTAATACTTACACTGTTCATTGCCAATTTTGCACAACCACCGCAACAAGGTTACTCTCATATGCGTTCTTGTTATTGCCTCATCGTTATTGTCTGTGGTACCAACGCTCTCCATTGGAGCTCCACTCAAAATGTGATTCATGTATGTCTACAATGAATTTTGAATCCGTGTCGAAGATCTAAGGTGCTTACCTTTAAGTTAGCACGCGCCGTCGAATTGGCTAATCTTTCCTCCAACATCCCCGCGTGTTTCAAAAATGTGGCAATGGGCACGTACTGCTTTTCGTTTCGTAAAAATTTCGTTAGATTAAATGCGTCACCGTACTTCATTTGGCCAATGTTCGCGAAGGTGAAGGTGTCGTCGATGAGCTGGGCCTTATTGTATATGTGAATTTTGGTGTGATCTTTTTCATTCAGCTGTTGTTTTAAAAGATTCCAGTTTTTTTCGTCATACATGACTCTGTAATAACCTAAAATTGAAAGTGAGTGATATCCGAAAGATCTTCTGTAAACGTACCGGTCTGTTGCTTATTAAATAGTATCCACCCCCCCTTCGGCATGTTAGCGAGCTTTCCAGTATCTTCTTTCAGCCAAATTGTAGCAGTAGTGTTCGCATAGCTCTCATCGTTCAAGTCTCCTTCTATGACATAATTAATCGGGATATACCATTTGGACTTATCAGTCGCAATTTCTTCGTCAGTAAAGAATCGTTTCTAAAGTAAAACCAGTTTACGTAATCTTTTAGAAATTGAATGGGCCTTACTTGAGACAGGCTGATTTCGCCTGTTTCGTAGTTTCTGGTGACGGTCAGGAGGGGATAACCGGACTGTGAATCCCAAGAGGTCATCACGGTCTTAACATCGACGTTGTTCATTAATTTGGTCAATTTTTTCTCTTCCAAAACTTTTTGGAACGAATCATACAGGTTTGAGGGCACTACAGCTTCGTATGAGCTGAAATAGATTCAATTAAGGGTGATGTGGTTTACTCCGGAAAACGCTTACTATTTCTCCAGGTAGTTCTTTAATGTAACACGGAAAACGTCATCTGTTACAACGTGACTCAACATTCTTATGACAGAACCAGCTATAAATTAGATCATTACACATACGTACCATAAACTACAAATCGTGACTTACCTTTTTGATAATTAATTAATGAAGGAGCACTTTCGGTATTCATTGGTACTATATTTTTCTTACTATCACCCACCAAAGCCGATTGAACCGCATCCAGAATGTACAAACCTTCCATATCCCAATTTAACTGCAAAGACGAGATTTCAATAGCAAGGGCAGTAAAAAAAACCAATGATTTCACGAGCTTATGAGAATTGCAAAAATTGAAATTATTGCGAAACTATTTTGATATTGGATTTGTATCTTTTTTCCCGATACCTCCACTATTTTTGCAAATAGAACTGGGCCCAAACTTTCCCTACTCAAAACCGTTTCGGTTGTACGAAGAGAAAACTGACCCATATACACGGTGTCCATTTTTCGAGTGCCACTATGGGGATCTCATTTATCTCAAGAGATAGAAAGATGGTTAAATGAGGGCAAAGTTGCCAATTTTCGTGCCGAATAAGAATTTGAAATATCTCCAATAGTTTTGAAGATATCGCAAAAAAACGAAAATTTCTGATTTTCTTATGATAAACTAATCGTAGTAGATATTTCTAATTAACACATTATTCGGACACTTTTTAATGGAGATCTCAAATATGGCATCCTGTTTTTAATAACTGTCAAGATAACGGAGAAACACGTGACAACTTTAGTTTTTCTTATGGGCGCCATTTTGAATTTTCACATTTTGAGATTACGTCTTTTTTTCTCTTTACAACGATATATCACACATGGCGGTTCAGTATCACATTTTTCCTAAAAATACAATTTTTAATTACTTGAGAAGAGTGCTTTGGAAAAAGAAAACGTTCTTTTGTTGTGAACAAAAGGTTGACTTATTTCATGTAGTGCCATTTACTAGGTTTATGCTAGTTGTATGCGAAAATGCCTTTTTCAAGTGCAGATCAAACAGATATGATCCAAATTTACTACACTTCTCATCGAAATGCCCACATGGCTGCTGCAACATACTTCCAGCGTTATCCAGAGCGGCAACAATCTAGTTTGAGGTATTTTTCTTTGCTGCAAAAACTTGGGCGAATATGGTTCTTTTAAAAGATGTAGACAGTAATATGGTGATAGACCCAATGAATAGGAGCAGGCAATTTTGCAAGCGGTAAAAATTTTGAAATTTTGACAATGAACATTACTGGTCAATTGAAAATTCTCATCAATTTCAAGAACGACGACCACAAATACGTTTTAGCGTTAACGTATGGGTCGGTTTATTGGGCGATACAATAATTGGTCCTTAGAGACTCTAAATGCTGATCGGTACCTCCATTTCCTGAGGACATTTCTAACCGATTTTATTGACAATAACGTTCCTCTTCATCGTTTGAACTCGATATGGTTCCAGCAAGATGGCGCACCGCCCCATAATGCTAGGAGGGTTGGGGAATGCTTATCGGAATTGTTCCCAATCATGTTATTGCTAATAATGGCGACGTACGCTGGCCGGCGCGGTCACCTGACCTGTCTCCCTTGGACTATTTTTTGTGGGGAACAATGAAAAATGAAATTTACAAAACATTGCCAGCCGACCTTGATGAACTTCGTCATAGAATTGTGAGCACTCTCAGGAACAAGATTAGAAGAAGGGATGTTTCAAGAGCCATAGCAAATCTTAGGAAGAGAGTGGCACTGTGCTCAGAATTAGGAGGTGGGCAATTTGAACACATGTTGTTATGTATTTTGTTCTAATTTTAATTATAATTCTTGCAAAACGAAAGTTCAATTCTGTTCAGATGAAAATCGAATTTCTACTTCTCTGACAACGCTGCAACCAGACAGATGGATCAAACTGTCAAACATTTGTTCACAACAAATGAACGTTTTCTTTTTACAAAGCACTCTTCTCAAAAAATTAAAAATTGTATTTTTAGGAAAAATGTGATACTGAACCACCATGTGTGATATATCGTTGTAAAGAGAAAAAAAGACGTAATCCCAAAATGTCAAAATTCAATATGGCGCCCATAAGAAAAACTAAAGTTGCCACGTGTTTCTCCGTCATCTTGAAAGTTATTAAAAACAGGATGCCATATTTGAAATCTCCATTAAAAAGTGTCCGAATAATGTGATTAGTTTATCATAAAAAAATTAAAAACGAAAATCAGAAATTTTCGTTTTTTTGCGATATCTTCAAAACTATTGAAGATATTTCAAATTTCTTTTCAGATTCTTATTCGGCACGAAAATTGGCAACTTTGCCCCCATTTAACCAACTTTCTATCTCTTAAGATAAGTGAGATCCCCATAGTGGCACTCGAAAAATGGACACCGTGTATACAGATATACCGGGCGTTACATATAAGTATGCAAAAAAAATGGGTAGTAGAGCTGCCTCCATCGTTTACGAGATACATTATCTGGGAATCAAATCAAAAATGATCTCAGATGATTGGTATAAACTATTTTTACACTATGGTATAAATGAAACTAGATGAAAAGCACAGGGAGAGTGAGATAGCGCGATTGCATTTAGCTTGAAGGTAAATCTGGTTCATTGACTTTGTCAATATCAATGTCTGCTGACAGCAAATATATATTATTATTATTATTATTATTATTATTATGCCTACCACTACTTATGACAAAGAGGAGGTAGAGGAGATTCATGGATGGAAACCATCCTGAGAGACGTAGGACAGCGCAGTTGCCTGTATTTTCATAATAGAATGGAATGCTATAGTAGAGGAATGAAGTGGCGGGATAACTAGAACTTGGTACCAAAAACGAGAGAGAGCAGATAGAATTGTCGAATTTTCTAGGGAAAAGAGTTGGTTTGTTTGTAGCAACGCGGTTTAGACAGGTTAAAAGAAGGCTATATAGGGTATAGAAACGCTTTAAGGGCCATAGGGATTTTAATGGTTATATTGATATATTTTCTCTCCTAATTATTTTACAGCAAAGTTGTAAATGCGCTCATTTATAGTTTTTTGTTGAGGGAAATGGGAGAAATTATAGTTATTTATTATACAAGACGATTGGCCATTGAGTGAATTAACTTTCACGAGATGGTTAGTTTCCCTTTATCGTTGTGTATAATACAAAACTGTATTTTATAGCAGAAACCGTATAAATCATTGTAAAGCTTCTGAATTTAATTTAGAGACGTCAAAATAGCAAACTTAGGTTCTGCCGTCGCGATCGTTCCCATAGAAACAGAATGGTCATATGTTCTGAACGTCATTTTATATCGTGCATTTGAAATAAGAATGACAGATGTCATTAGAATGCACACTCATCTGTTTCACTTTATCTATTCTTACGGTTAAAGAACGGCTTAGTCTACTCATTCAAACCTATTAAAATGTCAATTTAACATATGCTATAAAAATAAAGGAAATTATAAGTATCATTATAAATCCAATTTTTGTTTCAATAATGTCCGCGACACAAGTGATTTTAGTAAAAATCACTGGTGCCGTGAAATTATTGAAACAAAAATTCCATTTTTAAGCAATTACTAATCTCTAATTTATTTATTTTGTCTTGTTACAGGATACCTATTTACAGATTTGCTGTAAAATAATTAGGGGAGAAAATATTTCGATATAAAGAAATTAGCATTGAAATCTCTATAGCGCGTAAATCGATTCTACACCCTGTATACATGGGCGTATAATACTGACTGAAGGTAGGTTTAAAAACAGAACGTTTGCGAATTTCGCGGTGCAGTGATTATGTGTTGCCTATAGCGAAAGTGAAAATAAGACTGAAGAAAAAATATAATGAAATAGGACTTGGGGAGGTTTTGAATTCCTTAAGAATTTTTGAGTTAGCTTTAGAAAAGAATCCACATGGGATTCAACTGTAGAAAATGGTTTATGTCGGGGGGTTTTCTTCGCGGGTTATAGAGAGCGGTTTTGTTCCGAGCGGAATGGGGTGGGGGTTATTGTCCTGTACCGGAGCAACAGTTCGGTTTTAGAAAATGAATGGGACTCAGTTGTGGTTATCAGAACAATAAGAGAGATATGCTTGGAGAACAGGAAAAGTTTGAAAGTGTGTTGACATAGTAAGCCAGTCATTCTATCCCAAAAAACGACAAATAGAAAAAATAATTCCTGTAGTTCCAATATTTTCGGGAATGTGTGGCTGAAGGTCCCCTGATGATGGTGTAATAAAGTCCCGAGCGATTTCGGTGCCACCGGCGGGATGGGAGGGGGTTACAGATACAGTTTTGCAGTTTTTCGGCTATATCCCGAACCGAAAGCTCATAAAATGTTCTACATTTTTTTTCAAAAGCTACGGGTAGAACTTTTCGTCTAGCTTTCCTCAGCATTTTAAACGTACAAGTGGATGGTATAGGGAATTAAATTTCCTTCAAGAATAATTGACATATGTGGTATTTATGCTTCGACAGTTCGACGTTACCTCCGACAAAGATTAAGTGAAATTTCGTGAATGAAGATAAATTCCAATTCAGATGTACCGGATGTACTGTTCCTCGGCCGTATCTCGGGAATCGGTCGTCGTATGACTTAGGGGTAAAAAAATTATTGGGCAATTTTCAAGTTCTAAAAATGACCACCAGAGGGCGTAACTGCCATCTTAAATTTCAAAATTGCATTTTCTTTAAATTTCGCATAAGTTAAAAATTTTTTTTCACATTTTTAAAGAGAACCAGTTTTATCATTTTCCTAAAAACAAGAACTCAGTTATTTCAAAAACAAAGATGGTGTGGGGCGTTCAATTGTTTTGCAATAACCTGCTCTAACTTCTTAACGGTTTGACCGATTTTAACAAATTTGATATCGTTGAAAAGAGCATTCCTTGGGCAAGAAGAATCAATATAGTTAGTTTAGTTGAATCCTTCTCCGCCAGGGGGCTAGTTGACACCATGACCCGAAATCCTAAAAAAATCAAATGGAATGATATGCCTTTTTCTTTATGAAAAAGTAGCCAAATAACATCTAAAGAGGCCAGTGAAAACCGTTTTTCAAAATCTCGTTCCTAACCTCAAATATTGGATACAGACAATGTTGTAAAATATGCCAGCTTTCTTGGACCCACAGCTAGCCGTGCAGTTGGTTCTAGAACAATGGCAAAAAATGGCTTGTAAAATGTGTAGGTGCAGGAGTGACTGGAGAAATGACTCCCTCCAGAACAATGGGGTTGGAAAAGAGGTGACGATGGACACCTTCACCCAATAAGGAACATAGCTCCGCCAGTCCCAGAGAAAAAGTTTTTTTGTCGTTGTTCTACTACCAACTGCAGGGCTGCAAGAAGGCTGGCATATTTTACACCATTGCCTGTCCCAACTACCAATGGATCTTTCCACCAATCTTAACAGAAGATGAACAGGACGTAGGTAGACGATCCTCATAGAGAGGATCGTACGTGCATCTGAATTGGACATTATCTTCGCTTAAGAAATTTCACTTCATTTTTGTTGTAGGTAAAGTGGACTGTCGAAGCCTAAACACCACACATGCCAATTATTCTTGAAGGAAATTTAAGTCCTTGCAACTGTCCACTTTTACGTTAAAAATGAAAAGGTAATGTGCTACAGGAAAAGTTCGCCCGACAACAAAATGGAAAAAAATGTATAAAAACAAAGTTATAGAAAACTTTCGATTTTGATGAGAAATGTTTTTCTTGCAACCCCCCCCCCCCCCCCGCACTCAATTTTCTGGATATAGCCGAAAAAGCGCAAAAATGTATCTCCCCACCCTCCGGCGGCACCAAAATCGCTCAGGACAACATCAGGAGACCTTCAACCACACATTTCCGAAAAAATTGGAACTACACGAATTATTTTTTTTATATTTCCTAGAATGACTGGACTATGATTGTGTAATTAATGAGAATATTGAAAAAAGTGGAGTACCTATATCGGGGACATATACGGTTTGTGAATAATGTAGTAGGTGGTAATGAGGATTGGGGAAAAGACAACGGATTGGTTTTGCTATGAGCAGAGGGGTTAGGCTGGTATGTTTGAAGATAAACACCAAAAAGAGGAAAGTAATGAGTATATAGATGAAGAAGAAAATGTAGTAGTTTGCAGTTGGACTGGTTCAAGTACCTAGGTACTTAACCAGGAGCTGGAAGGGCGCTTGAAAGCAATTTGGATATAGAATTGAGGAAGGGATTAGCAAAGTGTCTTCTCTCTTCTCTGGATCGAAAAACCATATGGTTGTAAAATAAAGAAGTTTTGGAAATGTGTGTCAAACAAAGCCCTTGACAATTTCTATTCATCTGTGTCAATAATTGGCATTTAGAATAAGCGTTTTGAAGATATGGGCAACATTATTTGCTAAGTGCTCTTAATTCGTACTAAAATTATTAGTAACACAAAGGTGCACCCAAAAACTTGAATAATGCTTAAAATCATGGAAAAAGAACCTTTATAGTTTTTTGAGGCATATTTTGAAACGCAAGGGCGCATAAAATTGAGAACGTAACGGGATCGTATAAATCTTTGGTTAAACCTACCATATGTGGAAGGAAGTGTCCTAAGTAATTGGCAAATCCCTCATTCAACCACGTGTACTTCCACCACGCACAAGTAACTAAATTACCGAACCACTGGTGGGCGTACTCGTGCGCAATGATGCTAACAGTAGCCTCACGTCCGGATGTCGTCTGTTCTTGGAGAGGGTAAACCAATCTACTTTTCCTAAAATCGTATTTAAGTAGGGGGTGGTGTCACGTAAATTCGACCTTACCTGTAGGTGACCAAACCCCAATTCTCCATCGCGCCTGGCCAAAAATCTGCGTCTGGAATCGCGATTTGGTCCATTTTACTGAACGTGTACCTAATTCCCGTAAATTCCTCGAGTTTGTTGAGAACTTGAATTCCCAACTTAAGCGAGTATTCCCCTTCTCCGTTTTCGATTGACTCTTTGTCACCAAATACACGTTGTCCTTGCCTAGTTTCTGTAGGGATATACTGGCTTACGACCAGTGCAATTAAATAGCTCGACATTCTTCTCGTTTCTCGGTAAGAGTCTATATACTTGTCGGTTTTCTCGTATGGCCTAAAGTAATGGGCTGGAATGTTGCGTTCGACGCATGTTTTTGAGTACTTACTTTGTGGACATCAGTTCTTCATTCGACAATGACATGTAGTCCTTCGGTCTAACTAAATGAATTGTAAAGTTAGCTTTGAGGTGGGGTTCATCGAAACATGGAAACGCTCTTCGGGCTCCAATGGTCTGAAATTGTGTCGTAGCGAACTCCCTAAAAGTAAATAAAATAATTTTGATCAACTATCATCGGTGGTCAATGCTCACTGTGTTTTGCCGGATTTATCCTTGTATTGTGCCAAATAAAAACCAGTCTTATCTGTTGCGGATAATGTACCAGTAAAACTTGAAAATTCTAGTATGTAGTTAGTTCCGGCAGCTAGCTCCTCTTTAAAAGTTATTACTAGAAATTGAGGGCCAGGCTGTAGAACAAGTTTATCTATAGGTGTCTCTTTTCCATCGGTAACTTTTGTAAGTTTAAAATTTTTATCGACTCCATTTAAATGATTTGCGTGTAAAGTTATGGTTTTAGTTTTTTCTTTTACATGAATTTCAATTTTTACTTTTCCCTCAAAAGTTCTTTTTTTAATGTCTGGATTTAAGGTTATATTATATTTTATAGGAACGACGCTCTTTGGAAGGCGTTCCATCGGCTTTTCCTCCCTAGTCTGAAACGCATCCTCATTGGGACATGTGGACCCCCATGTGCCCATGGCTAATAGTAAAATTATGTACGCTATTTCCTTCATCTGCGAAAAAAGCTTCAATTAATCTATGAAATTACTAAACTGCATCTAGCAATTTGATTCTTGGAAAATGACGCTTAGTGCACTTTATTATGCATCTACAGATGAAACAAGAAACAACCAAGAAAAAACTTACCTTCATCTTCATAGAAAACTTTAACGAAATACTTCTCATTTTTCATATCTGGCTTTATATATAGGTAACCTTTCATTTATCAAATTATAATGAAGCAAATACATCACTTCAGATAATAAATTACACTCAAGTATTTCGAAAACAGTGGAAATCAATTTGTAGAGATTTAAGATTATGGGGTAACTAAATCACAGTTCAAAATAAATTTTTCCAAAAACCACTCCGACAGCCTATGTAATACAAGGTAATTGTAAGCCCAAACAGTTTTTTTTTCTAAATTGCCGACCATAGTGTGACGAGGTAGTGGATTGTGATTCAAAATCACCCACGTCATGAACAATACAATTGAGATAATGCCTATCCCAAAATGCCCCTCGATTGTTGTTTGCTGCAAATGAATCATGTGTACCGGGGGATTTTCTAGACGAAGTAAATTGCCCACACAATAAGTTAACCTCAATTTAAGCCTGGGTACGTATTTCCTTATAGGTCGATTGCATTAATCAATAAATAAATATTTACCAAGTCTATAATAGTACAATGTGGGTTATAGCTAATGAGAAACGTTCATTACTATCTAACAGACCGTATACACAAGCAGAAAATGCATAACAATCAAGGTCGAAATTTTTCGACTCTTCCTCTGACCCAACGTTCTTCTTAGAGGATGATTTGAATGCACTAATGCAAATTAATTACTTGGAATGGTAAAATATCTGAGTATTTCGGCAAAATTTTGCAGTATAATCGATTATCTTGAAAAAACTTCAAAGTCACGTCCTTAAAAATCATAAGTGCTGATATAAAAATTCGAGTTATGTACGTATAAGGACATGGTAACCTAAAACATGCTCTAGACCGTATCCCAAAATAACTGGGTCGATGCATCCAACCAAAATGACCAAATTTTGACAGAATTTCCGAAATCGGTACTTTACAGGAGTTGAATAGAAATAAATCCTGTTCTTGGGACTTTCAAATGATTGGGTAAGCACATAGACTGAAAACGTGAATCATATCATATTGTGATATTCATTTAGAAGTAGACATAGGGATTTCCTATGTCTAGTTTTAAATGACAAAAACTCTACTGAAGAACGTCTAATTTTATGCAACCAAAATGACTAATTAAAATATACGAACATTTTGCTTCAATTAAACAGATATCTCAAAGTTTTCCTTTTGCGGTTGTTGATATATCAGGTACCACCTAGGTAATTTTAGGTATATAGTGATAGTTTCAGCGGGGAAAGTATTGAAGTCTATACCTGCCCTCTTGTTTGTTTTTTTGTGTGTGTTTTTTTTTTCGTTCTAATTTCCGTCATCCCTTTCATTAAGTTTAGTAATAATATATTGTAGTATGAGTAACTTGCCAATAGTGCATATAAATACAAGGTCAATATTAAAAAAATATATTATACCAGGGATTTGTAAACGATTTTGAGCTTCTGTACTCGGATTTGCTATTGATTTCTGATAAAAATGTTTGTGTAGGAGATTTTAACTTTGATCTCTTGAATTTAAGTAAACCTGGAGTGCAACAATATGTTGATATGCTATATAGATTTGATATCACCCAAGTTATCAATATGCCAACGAGTATTTCTAGTTCAAGTAGCACCCTTATAGATCATGTGCTAACATCAGACACTAATTTAATCAAATCTTCTTCTGTGGATCTTAATCATTCTATCTCTGATCATGGTATCATTTTTTTTCAGCTTAATTTAATGTCCTCTTTCAGGAAACCTACCTTTTTAAAGCATAGATTAGATTTCAGGTCAATCAATACAGAAATTTTCACACAAGCTCCGTGGTTAACCAATAATATACGATTGCGTGACAATGCCTTTGGCAAGTTTTGTGCATCAACATTGGATAGCCATTGGAATTACTTTAAAAGCTTGACAAATTATGCCAACAACGCAATTTTAAGGGAAAAACGTGCTTTCATGGAGCATAGTGTTAAAAACCAACGTAATAGCAGTAACGTCTATATAAAAAATTGTTGGATCTTGGTGTAGGTCACAATAGCTCTAGAAAAAAAATTACCTTCTCATTTAACAGACGCTAATAATGCTGTTAATCAGTATTTTGCCTCTAATTTGTCTTTAAGTAAATCTACTAGTCTGAATTTAATACAGTTTTATGAATCTTCTTTGTACAGGGTGGCCAAATAAGAATGCGAGGTACTGTATCTGGGAACCTGTCCATCGTAGAGGCTTGCGGTAAAAAAATTTATTACTAAAACGGCCACGAGAAAAACCTGGAAAATATTTTTAAGTTTCTGAAATGGCCGCTAGGAGGCGTAACTGCAATCTGGAATCTAAAAAAGTGATTTTTCTGTGAATGGCGCTATATTAACCTAACAAAAAATACCCGGTCTTTGAAGACGACGATAATCTGAACCTTTTTTGTTTGACAATTTTTCCTGTATCTCTAAAAATGAAGTGGTGGGGGGTATTCAATGGTTTCCGTAAAGAACACCCTGTATCTTTGAAACGACTGAGCCGATTTTAACAAACACTGACTGACATTAATGGGAAGACTTCAACAATGGTTAATTTGCGATGTGGCGTTCCCCAGGGTTCTATGTTAGGGCCTCTGCTTTTTGCAATATATATTGCTAATATTATAAACAAATTAAAATATTGCAATTACCACCTGTATGCTGCAGTTATATTATGCATTTTATAAATCTGAAGTTGAGAAGGCAAACGGTGAAATAAACGAAGATTTAAATACCTTCCTAAATTACGCTGAACAACATTAATTACATATTGACCCCAGTAAATGTAAGTTTCTATTATTTGGTGCATCAGCTACTCGTGCCGAAGTTTCCTCACTCTTAGATATAAGAATCGGAAATAAAAAATTAGAGTTGGTTCAGGAAGCCAAAAATCTCGGGCTAAGCTTAAACGCGAATTTCAATTATGAAACGCATATCAAAAATTGTTCACAACGGGCTTAGATAGATACATCGAATTAAAGGTTTACTTTCTCGCTCTTCAAAAATTATGCTCTGTCGGTCGCTCGTGCTATCCCATTTTTCATTTTGTCTTTCTAAATTTCTTGAATTAAGAACACAGATTATTCAAAATTCGTGTGTTCGTTTAATTTACGGAATTAGGAGGTTTGAAAGGGTTTCTCACCAGTTAAAGTGTACCATGACTAAACATGGAAAAAAATCGACTTTTCCACTCTGCCACTGCATTTCACAAAATTATATTGTTTAGATCATCACCTTATTATTTGTATAATACAATTACATTTCTAACAGATGTTCATAATTTTAATGTTCGTGGGAAAGATTCCATTACCATTCCTAACCATAACTTAAAACTATTTAAAAAATCATTTTCATACAATATAGCCAAGATCTATAACTAGCTTTCGTAGAACGTTAAACAATTAAAACCGTCTAAATTTAAACAAAAAGTTTACCACGAGTTTTTAACATCTTAGTAATTTTTTTATTAATTTTAGTTTTCTATTAAACGGGATTAAACCGAAAGAATGCAAAATAAATTTACAGAAAAGCTTAAAATTACCATACTTATGAAACGTAACTTGCGAAAATGCAAAAGGCAAAAGATAAACTTACTATTCGGTTAGACGCCAAAAGTGTTTTCCCGAGAAATTTTGGTGCAGTCGATTTTTGGAAAAAAGGAAGGTTATACACTGTCTTTTTTTTGCCCCGAAAAAAAATTGTCTTAGATCGACCCGGAAATTTTCTTATAGAACGTGGTCTGTAGAATCCATAATTTCAAACAGTTCCAAGATTGGGCTACTAGTTCAAAAGTTACAGCCCTTTGAATTTTCTTTCGAAATTGGTTTCTAGGCTATAACTTTTGATTGAGAAGTCTGATCGAAAAAGTACGAATTGTTTTGGATTCTACGCACCAAAATTAATAAGAAAAAATGTTTTCCCGAGAAATTTTGGTGCAGTCGATTTTTGGTAAAAAAGGAAGGTTATACACTGCCTTTTTTTGAGCCCCGAGAAAAAAATTGTCTCAAGATCGACCCGGAAAAAAAATGTCTTATAGAATGTGGCCTGTAGAATCCATAATTTCAAACAGTTCCAAGATTGGGCTACTAGTTCAAAAGTTACAGCCCTTTGAATTTTCTTTCGAAATTTGTTTCTAGTCCGTAACTTTTGGTTGAGAAGTCCGATCGAAAAAGTACGAATTGTTTTGGATTCTACGCACCAAAATTAATAAGAAAAAGTGTTTTCCCGAGAAATTTTGGTGCAGTCGCTTTTTGGAAAAAAGGAAGGTTATACACTGCCTTTTTTTCGAGGCCCTCAAAAAAATTGTCTCAGATCGACCCGGAAAAAAATTTTTCTTATAGAATGTGGCCTGTAGAATCCATAATTTCAAACAGTTCCAAGATTGGGCTACTACTTCAAAAGTTACAGCCCTTTGAATTTTCTTTCGAAATTGGTTTCTAGTAGGGAATGCAATCCCGCAGCAAAATCTCAATCCCGGTATTTGCGGAATTGTTTGATGTTAATCCCGCGGGATCCCGGAATTTGCGGGATCTCGCAAAACCTTAAATAAATTGGCAAATAAGCAATTCTGTGCGGTTAACTTCTGTATTCAAATAAATCGCTAATTATCACAATATTTAACAAAAAAGTACCTTCGGCCTAACTTAGAACTCAAAAAAACCTTACCTGTAAAGCACAAAGGTCTTCTAAAGTGCCTCAAAAATCATAGTACATTTTTAACGAAAAAAGTTTAACAATCAGTTTCATTAACAAAGTAAACCGAGTCGTCCCCTTGGTCGACAAATTCCTCAGTCCCTCAAATCCTGCGGGATCCCGCTCCATTTATGTGCGGGATTAATCTCGCAAAAATGCTCCGGGATCCCGGTATTGCATTCTCTAGTGCGGACAGTAAAATCGTGACGGCTGCTCTATTGAGTATTATACTATGCTCTAAAGTATTTATTGAGACATTACAATGCTGAAAGGAAAGTTAACAATATCTACGGCACTAAAATTATTGAGCCTTATCTTGAGAACACTCGCCCAGATTGAAATGTCTAAAGTTAATAGTCCAGAAAGGCTAATAAATGACAAAATCTTTCGGACGCAACAAAAATAATTGCAATAAAGCAATTTGTTTTAAATCATTCAAATTTTCCTGGCAAATGTC